GAATCGCTGTCAAACATAATCAAAAGAAATTGTGACTTAAAAAACTTAGAGAAAAATCTTTTACCGATCAACACAGTGTCTTCTTAGCTGAAGCCAAAACTGAGCCAGAGCCTTGATTCAAACAAAAAGTTCCGAAGGCCGTTTTATTCAATTTTTTCGGAGTTCGTTCTTCTCTATGGGGATTCCAGAACAAAAAATTCTTTAGAAATACCAGTATACCGATAAACAAGTATAAACGGCTCGCTGAGGTTACTAAGCCAACAAGTTTTGTTAATTTTTATTCGAAAAGGAGCAAAACGCTCATCCGAAGCAGCCAGCAGAAGATGTGAGTCTTTTAGTAACCTCTTGAGTACTCGGATATTTGAGACGGCTGCATCAGCATAATTGTCTGGCACTAAATCATTACTTATTGTTGTTTTTTCAACAGATTTAACATCAACGCATAGAAGATACTGAAGCCATTGGACTTTTCTAGAGTCTGTAAGAGAAAAATCCACGCAACTGATTTGTTACCAACTGAAACGAAAACCACAACCAACCCGAAATATGTGGGATTTTAGCAACTTTTACTCGTGCATTTTTTTTTTCAAGTTGATCAATCGTAAGGGTAAAACACGGAGTTTGACTGGATCTCAAGGGACTGAACTAATCCCTGATAAGCAGTTAGTGGGAACTTAAAGTTCAACCAATAAAAGACCTATAATTTGAAAGTTTGAAATGAAAAAATAAAAACCAGACCAAAGGAACAATCTAACTTGAGATCGACCAGTCTAGCGGTGCACCATCGGACTCTTCAAGACAACTGAAGTTTTCCCCATCTCCCGAACGCCACTTGACAGACCTGTCTCTAAAATCCCTCAAAGTGCTGCCAAACAGGCGCAAACATCAACATAACACATCCACTATAAAAGCCAACATAATTAATTAGTCTAATTGGTACTTGCACTTTTTGAAAGCGATTCGCTAGTTCCGCAAAATGGTATTTCCAGCTATGAAAACATTTTTAGCGCAGTAGTCGAGAGCCAACTCAATTTTTTTTTGGTATTCCATCTCTCAATTACATATAAGTAATTTTGTAACTCCAAAGATCTTTCTGTTTATCATCAATATTTTCGTCTGATCTGCAATCTTATATGAGTTTGAAAATTGGAGCACATCTGGACAGTCAATTATGCAGGAAAGAACCTGTCCCAGAACTGAGCCTTGTTGGACACGTGGTAATTTGTCGTTTTTGATGTTCTTTGGGCGAATGTTGCACATATGTTTTCATGGCTCTACTGGTTGTTTTATGTAGCATCATAATCAGCGAGTGTTCTAACGCTCAATTAAAACCCTTATCCGGGTTCTTGAAGGGTATACCAAAATGCGAAAGCTTTTTCTTAGTTAAAACAGAAAATTCCCGTTCAGTGAAGGTTTGAGTGATAGGCGTACCTAGTTTAGTAAACGATCGAAAACTTTTGAAGCTATATATAAAAACAAAAAGAGAGAAAGAGTATACTAGTTTAAAAAAAAAGAAAAAAAAGAAAAAAAAGTGAAAAAAAATAGTAGAAAAAAACTTGGAAATCAATAGAAAGTGCCTTCCCAGACGAGATGCGATCCGACTTTCAGTTTTGTTGTTTTTGATAGATTCAGTCAATGAGTTGGGTAAACCCAATTTTAACGATTAAAGGTAGTCTCTTCTTAACCTGTACTGTTGGGTTATTTGAGTGTTTCGGCACGTTAATCGTAAATTTCAGTTAATCCGGAAGGGTGGAGTGATTGAAGAAAAAGGTCCTATCCAGCAGTTGAAGAAGGAGCAGGAAGGATCACAAGGACAACAAAAATCAACGGTTACATTCACTACACGTTTTTGTATCGTTTTGAGTACAGAATGTGAGACGTCAGATAAGAGCGACACGACAGTGACTGCACTGGAGTGAACTCTCACTGATTTAAAAGCTTTCGGGCTAATTTAGATATTGAACGGACTAGCAGGGTTAAAATACTATTAATACTACCATTTACATAATATGTTTTAAAACTTTTTTCCTTTATAATCAAACCAATTGCTTACAGACCGACTTTAAGGTCAAAACAATGCTATTTCCTCTTGTCTTCTGGCCTCATCGTCGTGCTGGCGTCTGCTACTGATGGCTCCTGTCCGGTAACACCACTAGAGTCCGGCCTGGCCGCTACACGTAACTTGTTCGAGTGATAAAAGCCTTTATTGTTTAATAGGACCACAACAGATTTCTTCCGCTATCAATCTTCAAACTTGTTGCGGGCAATGCAAAATTTGTCGCTGAAACCGCAACTTTGCCTGTTTTTGGGGCAAATTTGAGCGATACGGTGTTTTAGCTATTGGTTTGTGGAAACCAAAATGGCAACGATCAAAGAAAATGAGCAAACGTTGCGAGTTCTGCTACAAATTGGTTTTCAACCTGTGGCAGAATCTGTTTACAGTTCACAAAATACTTACTTTGGCCTCATTAGGGTTGACAAAACTCGTGCGTTTTATTGCTAAGAAACGTGAGCTTCGATTTTAGCCAGCTTTTTTGGTGCCTAAAAACAGAAAACTTTGAGAAGACCGTATAATTTATGAGAAGACGGTAGGCTTACTGCTAGAAAGATTCTTGGCATTGATGATTCATCTTGCTGACTAGTTTCCATCTAAAAATATTGCAGACAATTTGCAGCAGCGTCTTAAAAATTATCATTTCATGTGGCTTGTTACTATGTTACAACGAAATTTGTAATTTTTATAATGATATTTAAAAAAGCAGTTTAAAGTCCTTGATTATATTAACTCTTGGAGTAATTTTGTAGAAAATTTATTTGTTTGTGATTGTCAAAGAGACGGGCCTGATTCAGATAGTGAACTTAATACGCAATTATGATAATTAGTAAAACAACCAAAGCAAAAAGAAGGCACCCATTTAGAAGACAAGCTCAAAATGAAACTATAATCCTTATCGTTTGTATTTTTTGTTCGATTTGAGGCCAAGCAAGTTGCAAAACAATTATTGGTTTTCCGCCTACTTCGTCCACCTTTTTGTGGTAAATGTTATGGTGAATAAAACAATAAGTGTTTCAAAAAATTCAGAAATGTTTTTAAAAAAACGCAAATTTTCAAATAATCAGTATAACTTATTTGCTTCAGAAACACTTTAAGTATAGACAACCAGTTTACTTAGATTCCAAGTATTGCCCAATGAAAAATTTGAGAGAATTGAAAATTCGACAAATTATGGCTTTTTGACGCAATTCAGTCGAAAAAGAGTGTTTCAAATGAAACTGATTGTTTCAATCCCTGAAAACTTCAATTGAACAATACAATTTCTCGTCTATTACGAGTTCTGATTTTAAATTTTTTTGAAACATCGCTTGCTACGAACTCTTGACAACTGCAAAATGCTTTGCTCATGAACTTTTTTTTTCCTGAAAAAGTTTCTGAATTATTTTTCATCAATTGCTCGGACAAAAGAGATGAAAGTTTTCTGTTGATACACTCCTGAACTGGAAAGAACAAAGAAATTTGAAAAAAGAAATATGAAAATTGTGTGAAGTTTAGTTTTCTCGTTTTTTCAATGAAATTCCCGATAGTGCAGAAGACCCTTTATATCATACTTGGAAAAAATGACATCAGAGTACACATTAAGTATCAACATGAAAGTTTCATTTCTACCAAAATTACACGCACCTGCTTAAAAAAAAATCGCATATGAGCAAAAACGACCACCAATTAATCATACATTCAACAGAAAAATAAAATTTGCTGTTAAATTTTTTTTGGATGTGCAAGCAAGTGACAAAATAATTGGCCCAAAATGAGTTTATTTATGTCAAGTCAAATACAAAACAGTTTTTTTTTTAAAATTTTTTTAAAACAGTCCCTCACACGCTAGTCTCACTAAAAAAATCATATGTTTTGCATAGGGCAAAGCATTGAATAGACAATTTAGGATGCTTCAATTCAATTGGGAAATACAGTGCTATTTAAATTACCCGGACACAACACTCAAAATGAGAAATTGGAAACGTGCTTTCTCATTTTGGAATGAATTTAGGTAAAATACAATAAAGACAATAATTGCAGAGAATTTTAGCAGAATTATTGGCCATTAGGCAAAATTCCGGCTCAAAATTTTACTCAAAAAAAGGATCTTTTTGGGTTTTTTAATTAATCAAAAGTTTACTAACTGCTGACAAAATTGTATCAAAATTAGACCCCTACATAGCGCAACAACGTTTACGGAGTTTATAATTTCCAAATCAATGTAAACGTTTTATTTTTGTTGTGTAGACAAAAAATGTGAATTTTACTAATTAAAACAACAATTTTTTTATTTAAAAGTAATTTTTAAAAATTCTCTTCAATTTTTTGGAGATTAGTCCCTTGATGAACTTTGTTGGGCTAGGCAGGGGGCTCACTTTGATTTAGTTTTACCAGTAATTGACTTGGTAGTTTGAGCGTAATTTTTGAATAACTAAGAAAGACGTAACTTGTCCGTTTTTGGCGTTAATTTTTGGGTCCGAGTTTTGCTGAACAGATTACATTTTATTAATTCTTCTTAACTTTTAAGCAAGTTATGTCTTCATCTGTTTTTACCTTAACTCAATCAAATTTGAGAAACGCTCAAACCAATTTGATTAGCCTAGTGCAAGCTTACTCGCTTGGCAATCCAAAGATTTCCGAATCGATACCCGAAACTAGATTTCTGAATCGATTTGTAAAATTGGTCTGAATAAAAAAACACCCCCGGCATATATATTCCTCACTTCGAAAATCGGAACGAAAATTAATTTGAAATAATTTGATTCAGCATTGCACAGCAACCAAACGGACATGCCTTAGAGGGTGTAGGGCTTGATATGGAATGTTTCGCACGAGTATTGACCGGTTAACCCGCAACTTTTCGTGGAGGTACTATCATCCAGAATTTTCAGCTTCAGAATTTTTTCTTTCATTTAAAAGCAGCGTGTATTCAGTCGACCATTTGTCAAACAAGCTTGTTACTTTCAATGGCCATATAAAAAGCACGTTTCTCTACCAGAATTCTGTCTTCTAAATAAGTTGATATTATTTTTTGAGATCCGTGGCATTAACTGAACTCTGAACATTGCCTGAGCAGTTCTCTTTGATTGACGAGTACATGTAGATAAAATTAATATACTTTGACAGTGCATAGATCTCTCAATTTAAAATGGTATGTATATTTTTTTTGCTTTGACGAAACTGTCAATTTTTTTTCGGTAATTTACAGTTTTTTCCACACCAGGCGCCCAAGAAGGAAAAAGACGATAAGCAAAAAGCTCAAGAAAACAACGAAAAACATGAAAAGCCAGAAGAAGAGAAGCAAGATGATGGTAAGAACTATTTATAATTTCAAGTAGTTTAACAAGTTCAGGCCAATTTTGCCTTGAATGTAATAAGAATTGACTCAAAAAACGCTTAGAAAAGACGTAACACTTAGAGCCACCCACTTTATCAACCGTCTTTTTATCAACTCGTAAATTTCTAGTCATTTTGTAAAACATTGAGGCCTTTTCTGAACCTTATTTTTAAAACTTGCACGCAATTCAAGTCTTTTGCGACTAAAAAGAACCGCTAATTTAAAAAAAAAACTGCGCATTTTGCTTCATTTTTTGTTGAAAAATTCTTTTCTCTTAAATTGCACACATTGCTTCTGAAAATTAACGCTAAACTAAAGCAAAAGTTAAGCTAATTGAATGCCAAAGTAAAGCAAATACAGAAAAATTATAACCCATTACAGACATTAAAATGTTTTGCACAAATATAAGATCCTTTCCTTCGAGTTTCTAGAAATGAACTAGTATTCCATGCACACATGAAAAACAACCATTTATTAGTCTGACTGAAATCTGACAAAATTTTAAACTTTTTCATTTTTGATGGTTACCTGCCTCTCAAAGGTACAAGCGCCCAAAGAGCGGTGTCGGATTAGCTATGTTGATAGAAAAGGAGTATTTTAAAGTGTCGGCTGTACGAAAAGACTATAAAAACTTTAGAACAAAAGTTCTGATTTCAAAGAGTTAGCATAGAAAAACTATTGTGTTAGATAACAGGACAACACGAACAAGAAAAATTTTTTCGCTGAATGTATCTTTTGTATGATTGATTTGCTGATTATTCATATCCGATACAAGCGTCCGTATCTGCAAAAAAAACAATAATTGAAGTATAAACAGTACGAAGAAAAAATCAAGAGTTTTTTTAAAAAACAATTGAATGAATCATCATCTCAAAACACTCTTTACCTCTAATCATTTTCAAGCTCAAAGAAGTGAAAAAGAGATACAGACTAAGAATGGCAAACGGTTTACAGAATACTCTGCGTCAATCGGTAGCAAGCTAGTCAAAAACTTTTCCTTTAACTCTAATACAGCATTACTACAAAGACATCAGCCATTGTTTGACAAAAAATTGCCTCAAGAAAGTCTAACAACCATGCGCTGATTGCTACGATATAAATTAGAGCTTCCCGGGTTGACCACATATGCTAATCATACCGTTTTCATATATGGAAGAAAGCTAATCATACACTTTTCATGCAATTCCATAAGTACAAAAAACTGCATGAAAGGTCTATGATTAGTGGTTTTTCATATACAGAAATTGTATGACTAGCATTTTCCCATAAACCATGAAAACTGATTTTCTACTTCAATTTTTTTGGATGTGCTCACGACCGAACACATGTGACAAAAAACCATGGTTTACTCAAAACTAGAGTCACAAAAGGTTTCATCGTCTTGCATTTACAATGTATTCAAAGCAGCCTGAATTGTATAAGAGTTTTCTTACACAAACTATATACTGAAAGCAAAGCATCAAACTTTTAAATTTTGGCAAAAAGTTTTGAAGATGATTTTTGTAAAGTTTTGTTTTTTGAATTATTAGACATTCATCAAGGCATATCTAAACATGCTATACAAAAGAAAAAAGAGTTACGGAAAAATCCTAATTTTTGTGTATCGGTGACTACGTTATGCACACACAAAAGTTAAATTTTCCACGTAACCTTTTTTTTCGAAAATGTTTGTTTGAATGCAAACTTCGATTTACGGTTTAAAAACAAGAAACTAATTGAGACAATTTCAAAATTACTGTCGTCATCAAAAAAATACTAAATATACAATTTCCATATATGGAAAGTGTATGACAAACGTTTTTTCGACAAAACTTTTTCTTTTTTATTTAGAACGAATACAACAACTTTTATGCCAAAAAAGAAAAAAGTTTTTGAAAAAGTTCATGACACCATTTCAAGAGAATGTTTTCAAATGAGAGGGACAAGTGCTTGCATATAGCTTCACTTGTCTCTTTAGTAATTTGTCCCATTGCTGTAAGTCTCACTGTTTCTTTTCTTAGGTTGTTATCGAACCGAATTCTGGTTAAATACTTTAAGGTTAACCAAACATAAAAAAACTTCACGGTAAATGGAAAAAAAATAAATTGTTAAATATGCTTTTAATTATAGAAGATTTGAACAGCTTAACGAGAGTTAACAAAATCTTAATGAGGCGGGAAATTTACATATCTTAGTTTTTCAAAATTTTGTCTTTCTAACTTGACTGCCCGATTTTGTCCTGATTTCCGCCGGTAACTTCTGATTCACTTCCGTCTAGGATCGTTCCACGAACTCCAGTTGAGTTGAAATGACTTGCCTCTATTTTCTTCAACTCTCGGTCTTCCTGGTGTCGGCAAGATGTTTTCTTTTTGAGTTAATTTATTTTATTTAAATTTCTTTAACTGGAAACTAATGAAAAGAAAAACGTGTAGAAAGAATTTAAAAAAACTCAGAAAAATTCATACGTTTTAGTTAAAGATTTTAGTTTCTATTTTTGAGTATCTGAAGCCAACTGAATATCAGGCCGGGTACTCTGACTTTTATCGTAAGTTTGCTTTATTGCTTTCCTCCATCTTTCTTTCATCAATAATTTTTTAAAGCAGCACCTGCATATTTTCTTAGCTTACAAACGAAGTCTTTTTTGTTTCTTTTAATCAGAAGAAATGTTCAATATGTACATGATTTAATTTTCAATCGTTTTTAGTTTTTGTAAAAGACCTGTGCTTGTCGCTTTATTGTTCCAATTCTGAAGTTAGAACAAATAAACCAGTAAATCTGAATGTTTCTAAATTGCGCCAGCAATATTGTTAGCTTTCAACTTGAAAATGACTGAACTTTTTGTGCCGGACTTTTAAAAAACTGAGTATGAAAAAAATGAGAATATTCCGACTGCTATTTCACAAGTAGTCATTTTTCAAAACAACAATTTTTAGATATAATAAAAGTAAATCAGCCAAAATCTGATTTAGTGAATAGGGGCTATAACTTTGAGGGGTACAGTTTTGGTTTTAACAATTGAGTCCTAATTAAGTAAGCAATTAGACAAAAGCTTTTTATCCGCGTAGTTTTTCAGATACTACTACTCACCCCTATTTTTTGAGCAAATATTTTTTAGCGGTTCAACGCACACCTTCAAAAATAATTATTTTAACCTTAAACAATACTAACTGCCATTAACACAAATGAATTTTAACAGTACAAAAAATGAGTTTGAAATTTTTTATTGGTTTGGTAGCCGGCTAGTTTTTTTCTAGCTCATTGTTGTACTCTTTCAGGATCTCAACATTTTTTTCTGCTGCTTGCAATTTTCTTTTGAGATCAGCCATAAGACTCTTCTTCTTTTTGCTTTTCATCTTAATTTTCTTTAGTTTCTCCTCAAGCTCATTGATGTCACTGTCTATTGTTTATTTTTGGAGGCTGTATGGTAAAAAGGCAGTTGTTCTTTCTTTTAAAAAAAACTTTTTTCCTTGTATCTTCATTCTTCAGATTATAGGACATATTAGTGAGGTTCTCTATTCGCCAATTATTCCATTCTCCTTCGAATGAATATTGATTCTTATGAACGATGGATCTGGTTAGTAGAGCTCTCTCTTTTTCTGTTGAAATTGATTATGTTTTCCTATGGCTTCCATTTATTGTAACCGGTTTTTTTTTGAAAAACTAAGGCTAATTACAAACTGCAGATTGTCCCTATTAAAGCACGCCTCTCATTTTTGTTGAACTTTGAACCGTTGTTTTAGGGATAAAAATTTTTCTTTTCCTGAGAAATTCCATCTTCTTTGGCTATGAATTCTTCTGATGCTTCTCTTCTAACTTTTTTTGTTTCGGTGCTGCCCTGCTGTCGCTGTTTTCTCTTTTTGCTTGCCGTTTTCTCGAGTACAGTATTCTTTGGCTCGAATTTTCCTTCCATTGGGAGGATTCTATGGAATTTTCGATTTGGAATCGGTTCGTGACAGGCGTTTGAGTTCAATCCTAATTATAATAGAAAAAAAATGGTTTTCTTGTGTCCTACACAACTTTGTGAAATATATTCTCGTAGTCTTCCAAAAACCAACCACGGAGAACATAGAAAAAATTGACGTTCATGATAAAGTTTAACCACACAAATAGTTCTAAATATTTTCCAAATTAATCTTGAAATCTTGGATATGAAATTTTAATGTAGCAAAAACAAAATTAAAGTTTGGGCAATAACTAACCTCTGATCTTAGATATAAGTTCAACTGGTTTAATTAACAGGATTACGGTGAGGTTTCTTGTTATAGGTAAAACAAATGGGGCAAGAAAAAACCGGTGGTGGTTAGTAGTATTTAAGATAGCAGTAATCTGAAGAAGAGTTTTGTGTGTAATGTTATAATAGAAAAGAAAAAAGAGAAAGAAAACTTTTTTATTAAACTAAAGAGTTTTTTTTTCACAAACTTCACGTCGTTGCCGTCTCTGAGAAGTGTAAAATTATTGTATATGAATAAATTATTAGGATTCAAGGATCAATTCCAAGGGTTGTAAAAACGGTAACGGATTCGACATATAGGGCAAAGTTGAGTTCTAGTGGGAGGCATTTTGTAAATAACGTGACTTTTGGATGGCAAACAACGATATGTCCGTAACTTGCCATACTGCGAGTTTGGTTGTTTTCCCTAGTTTCACTCAAGGATAAGTTTTTCACATTCAAAATTTGTAGGACAGGAAAATGTTTTACCAATATCCAAAAAATGAATAAAACTGAGTTCCTCAAAGGTATTCGTATTGATGTCTCAAACAATAACTATCACATAAACTTTTAAATGTGGCTGTAATTCAAACATTTTCTTTTTGTGAGTTACAGAAGCAGGTTGGTCGTTCCTATCAAACATCATTTTTTTGTAATCAGAAAAAAGAAGACTTAGGAAAAACTTTGTGTTTGGGTCAAAAGCGAGAAAACGACTTGATTCAAGGAAATTAGGATGGTTTCTTTGGACAGTCCTTTGGGTCGTTATAATTGAATTAGCGCTACATACATGTAAAACATAGAACTTTTTCTACTCTAATGAGAGCATAGTGTAAGTTTGGTAGCTGAACAAACAAGTTACGGGAAGCTGGTGAAATCGTTTGAGTTGAAATTGTCAATGTCCTTCGGCAAATGGGTTGGACACGTATTCGACAAAATTAGGAAAAATTCCAAACCCGTGAGTTGGATCAGTAAAAGAAACTCTCGATCTATAATATCGACCAGCATTGAATCTATAGAGATGCGCAATTTTCTTGTGCGCAAATTGATATGTTCAAAACAAAAGAGTGCCGTTTTGTTTTACGCATAGAACAGACTTCAGTTGCAATCAGTTTTGATTTTGGCTGAAATTTTGTACTCAGTGTTTTGAATAGTTTCTTTGTACCTAGACTTTGATGACTTTATGTTGAATTCATAAATTTGGTTGTGGGGGTAAGCACTGATAATTGAGAGTAAAATATTTTCTATTGCGCAAGAGGTTAATATCGCGGCTTCTACTCGAGAAAACTTTTACTGTAAACTGAAAGAAATAAATTACTAGAAAAAAATGTTGATTTAGCGTGTCAAAGAACCTTTATTTTCTCCGAAATAGTATTTTTGGAATGTCTAGATTTGCTCATAGTTTGCTATGCTCGTTTCTGACAAAAAAATTATACACAGAATTGAATTCTTTTCAAATTTGTAATTATTACCGTCGATTTGTTTCCCTCAAGCAAAAAAAAACACATATAATTAATTTTCTTATTTTAAAAATCAACATGAATTTACTGAACAACTTTTTCAGGATAAATAAATATCATATGTTGAATGCAATCATTAGATTTGTTTTTTTTTGGTAATCTTGTTGATGCTCTTAGCGCAGGTAATTTATTTACATAAGCTGAGAGTTGAATTACTGAACAAATATCTCGATCAAGATTCCTACCATTATTTAGTTTGTCGAATCTAAGTAAAGAATTTGTATTAAGGTATGTTGGACTTCAACAAAATGGACTTCTTCAGAATTTTTTGTTATAGCAGACTCAAAAAATTGAATGGATATAACTATAGTTTGTATATGATGATTCAGTGACAGCTTCAGAGCTTCATGATTAATCCTCCTAGATAAACTTTCAGCATAAGACAAACATTTATTAGTACTTTTTTTGGGTTAGTCATCAGCTGGTATTCGTGTAAACAGTTTTTTGTTAGTGTAGGAAATTGGATCAGTAAAAGAAACTCTCGATCTAAAATATCGACCAGCATTGAATCTATAGAGATGCGCAATTTTCTTGTGCGCATCTGAAAAAAAAAATTGTTGCTTAAGTTGGTGGTATGGTGTTGTTGATGTAGGGTCAAAGATATTACCTATTACATTCTTCTGTACTCATTGTCCACTTTAGTTATTCAAGTTTTTAGGTATAATCCAGGTTCGTTTCGTGTATCAGCTGTTGTAATGGTACTGCTGGCTCAGTTCGTTGGACCATATGTTCTGAAGCACTACTTTCTTCTAAATATTCTGTTTTTGATTATGTTGGCGTGTTTGTTTCTTTCTTGAGTGCATAATTGTCGGGGATTTGGTGTTGGAGTTTTCGGATAAAAATTTTGAAGTATAAAAAGAGCAGAACCAAAGTGTTATACGTTGCACCTAACAATATTTTCTACAAGCTGTTAGTACAATTACTTAACTTATTAATCATTAAATTTTTGATAGTTGTTACTGTTTTTTTTTCTAGCGTGATTAGCGTTTTTGTGACAAATTGTTTTTTTATTTACAACGATACAACGACTCTTATGCCGAAACAAGTAAAAAAGTTTTTGAAAATTTGATGACACGTATTGTATGACTTGTTTTTTTTTTCATAGATTTAGTTTAAGGATTTATATGATTAGCTTTTTTTGGTTTTTGGAGGTCAAACCGGGTTTATACTGTATCGTAGAGAACCGACAGCTGAGAACTGAACTATTTGATTTTGAATCACGGCCTATTTAAGAGTCTTCACTACGACGGTCAATGACTCCTAAAAAATACGGAACGAACACTTAATCGTCCGCTCATGAATCGATAATTGATCATTCATAAAATCGAGTGTTCATAAAACCGAGGTCGCACTGCGTTTTTTCCTTTCGCCTCATTAATCGCAACGTATCTCTAAAATTTAAGAAACTTGAATGCTTTCAGTCCTAAAAGTGTGTTTGTAGTTAATTATTATCCAAAAGTTGGAAATGACTTGTGGGACTGAAAAAGCCTGCCCAGTCCTCCTCGTCACACCGTCCGATCTTAATCCACCAAAAAATAAATCCTGTCATTTCTAATACACTATGGAACATTTCTACAAAACTTTGTCTGAGAAGAAAAAAAAGGAATTAAATTATTAGTTTCTACCTTGCGAGCAAATAAATTTTCGAAGGACCTTGTCTACTAAAAATCGTTTTAAGAATTTCTTGTTTAATTACAAATTTTGGACTGACAATTTACAAAGCCTGATTGCAAAGTTGAATTCCACGGGTTCTAATTCTGAGTTCTATATGCAGTTGAATTAGGACTAAAAACTAATTTGAAAAATCAGTAATTGAAAAATGTCTACTATCGGTTTTTAGGCATAACAAATGTATGACTAACTGAAATTCAACAAACCTTAATAAGCAAAAAAAAAATCAAATATTCCAGTTCTGTCGGCTCTTTTATTGATTATGCATGATCATAACGTACAAAACTTGCACGCTGCCGGTTCTACAATGCGTAGTGAAATATTTCCGAAAAATGGAAATGAATTGTGGGACTAAAAAAAACTTAATCAGTCCTCCTCGTCACACCGTCCGATCTTAATCCACCCAAAAAATACCGTCATTTCTAATCCACTATTGATTAATAATGCACCATTTTGTCTGAAAAGAAAACAAAGGGAATGACATTTTTAGTTTCTGCTTTGCGAGCAATTCTTTCTTTAATTAAAATTTTTCGACTGAGAACTTACAAAACCTAAGTGCAAAGTTGAATTCCATGGGTTTCAATTTTGAGTTCTTTATGCAGTTGACTCAGGACTAAAAACTAATAAAAATCGGCAATTGAAAAGTGTCTACTATCGATTTTTAGGCATAAGGAAAGTACGACTAACTAAAAATAAACAACCGTTGATAAGCAAAATTCCAGTTATCTCGACTTTTTTTAAATATGCATGATCATAGCGTACAAAGGTTGCACTGTGCTGGTTCTTATGGGACTGAAAAAACCTTTTTCAATCCTCCTCGTCACTCCGTCCGATCTTAATCCACCCAAAAAAAGTACTGTCATTTCTAATTCACTATTGACTACCCCAGCAAAGTTTTGTCTGAAAAAAAAAATAAAGGGTACGAAGTTATTAGTTTCTACTTTGCGAGCAATTCATTCTTCGAAGAACCATGTCTGCTAATAATTTTTTTGAAAATTTTTGTTTATATACAACTTTTGAACAATTTCTCTATCTTTAAGTTTCACGTCTTTCTTCGAAAAGAAAGCAAACATTATTTGAGCTAATTTGCACTCAGTTTTTTTTTACTAGATGCAGGCAAGCAGCCGCCTAGTGATCGGAGCTGGATTAAGAACGACTACAAGAAGTTGAAGCAGTCCCTTCAAAAACAGCAGCAGACTGCGCTCATGAGCGAAAGCGGCAGGTAAACTCCATTTTACTTTTTACCCCCCCCCCCACCCCCACCTTTCCCAACCTTCGACCAACACTGCAAGTTTTTGATTTTCAGAAACATTTTGTATGCTAACATGCAGGGGCAGACGAACCCTAAAATTTTTCTGAAGGCGTTTAAAACTTTTCTATTTACTAATTTTGAAGGGGAGTGCGCGCCAAAAAAAACCCAATCTTTTGGTCAAATATTTCCAAAATTTGTCTGCGGTGCCAAATTTTTTTGTGAAAGCAGAATCTTTATAGTGTTCTGGGAGTACTCGGAAAGTCAATTTGGTCAACCTAAAAAAAGGTCGACAAAATGTTCGAAAACTTTTTAAAAAACCGCCCACTCGAGAAAATCTCAGATGCGCCCCTGCTCACACGGCTGAATGAGTATTATTAAGATACACAGTATGATTAATAAAATAAGTCTTTTTTCATCATTGCATCAGGACAAAAATAATTTTGTCAGGATTTTGAAAGTTGCTAAATTTTGGGAATAAACCGAAAAATCGACATTTCGACGACCTTTTTTCGACATTTTCGACATTTCGACGACCTTTTTTTTAGGTCGACCAAATTGATTTTCCGAGCTCTCCTAAAGCAGTGAAAAGACGCTGTTTTGAATGAAATTTTTGTGAAAAAACAAGTAAAAAAAGCCGTACCAATTTCCTTCCCTCAGGGGTCGAATCCCTGAGGGAAGGAAAAGCGTTTTAAAACTTTTTCGAACAAATATTAACTTCTGTGGTGTTTTTTTCAGAGGCTTGAATGCGTATGCTGATACTTCAGTGAGTGATACAGCCATGAACACGGTTAGTGGTTAAAAGATTCTTTTCGAAAACTCTTCACGGCAAATTTAATTATAAACTAAAATTAAAAAAAACAATCGGAGTTTATCTGATATCAATTTTAAACTTTCAGCTCTCACAAGATTTGCACATTTTCGTACTTTATTGCTATTTTTATACTTTGTTGCTAATTTGAAATTCGGGTAAACTTGATTTGCAGAGCACGAAACCAGTCAAAGTTGAGCCATATGGATTACGGGTAAGTTTGAGACATGAAAACTGTCGATATTGCAAACCAATAGCCGAGTTGATCGATTGTAATTAGAATCTTTGATTTTTTTCAGCCTGGGGAAGCTATAGCAAAGGAATACGGTAGAGACAGTACGCTAAAGCCAGTTGACCCTCAGAAATCACTTCAAATCGACAGGTGAGCTGAACGAACTGAAAATGAAAGAGAAAGCTGAAATAGAAACGAATCAAAAAGTAGCATAGCAGAATTTGTTTCATTTGTGTTGGATTTTGCATGTTTTTCATTAAGCTTTTCATGTATTTTCCGTTAGCTCATACAGAATCTAGGTAAATTTCGACCCATTCGCTTGACACGGGACACGCTGCCTTTCAGCTGGACATAAAATTGAAGTCGAAATCAAATTCGAAACATGGTCAAACACATTAGTCGAAACATCAGCGAAATCAAAACTTAAGATGGCTAAACTCCGAGTCAAATTATAGTAGAACTCATTAAAAGACTCGGTATAGTTTTTATAAAACTAATCAGACATGATCGAATCAATATCTTTGATTATAACACTTTTTTCACTTTTTGCTGATACATTTTCTACTCTTTTTCCTTTTCCAGGGCCTACAAGCGAGTTTTTATCATTTAAATTTTTGAACCTAATTTCCGATTATTTTATACAAAAATTGGCAAGTGAACTAATTTGAGTATTCTAGGCTTATTTGGTTATTCATACCTTACTTTGTACAACTACTCTTTACACCATAAAACTGATGCTTAATTGAAAATAAAAATAAAAATAGTTTTGTAAAAACTGTTCTGTCAAAACAGCTTTTTTGGTCGAAACTTAAGTCGAACGACTTGACTCTGAAAATTTCGTGTTTTCGATTTTGCAATACTTTAATGAGCTTCCTTTGGTTCAATGGTTTTACGTGTTTTAGCGGATTCCCAATGCCTTACAAACCTCAAAATCAAAAGAAGGAGGCAACAGCGAAAAATAAGGAGAAGGAACAGAACCAAAAGTTAGACAAAATTCATTAGTTACAGTATATACTATCTTGAGTTAGGCAAACCCAACAGATAAGAAAACTCATTGGGCTCCTATGATAGTGTTCGAGTGGATGCGGAGGGAAGGAGTGGAAATATGATGAAAACATCCAGCCGCTTTTTAAAATTTCAATTCTATTTTGGACAACTAACTGTCAGGAGGTATTAACAGGAAGAAGTCAAACAAGAAATTTCAGTTAATCTGCCAGTAGAGCAAAAGGCTACAGACGCAGTTTATTTTTCTTAAGATTCAACATTCAAGTTTCTCAAAAACAAAATTAGTGGCGTTAGTTGACTATATTTATCGCCGTAAATTAATTAAAGAAAACTTTCATAAGCATTTTTTTAAAACTTTTACACAGAAAATTTTAAATTTATTTTCAAATTATCGGTCCGGTGAAGCGCTTAGTTAAGATTCGAAAATCGAGTTTCTAAGCGCTAACTGAAATGTGTCAATGTGGATTTTTGCTCATAAACTGTCGAAAGGCAAAGATTTTAATCTGATTTGCTTTTCTTGACGGAAAAGTTTAAAATTTTCAAAAACATCGATCGAATCACGGATGAAGGAGGTTTAATGTGATATATCTTTAGGGCCCAATTGAAAACCTTTTCAAGCACCCTAGCGTAAAAAGAAGTGAACCCATAAATCAACGTACCCTGTGGTGGTAGTGAGTAGACCACCTAAGATAGAGGACGTTATAACTTATTATCATTAATGTTAGAGATCATTTGAATAACACTAATTAAAGACCTGTCAATCACGTTGATTGTTCTAACAACTTGATGGTGCTAAAGAATGAAACCCACTCCGTGTTAACTATTGAGAGATTATAGTTATCTTCTATTCTTTGATCCATACTTACTTATTAAACTTTACTATTAATTCAACTGTATTATTAGTCTAGTTTTCAGATAAGATTTAGGGATTATCACATGGCGCAGTCAGCAGTTTCTTCTTCTGAAGACAGGACGGAACTGCTAGGTGTCCCTTCATTTTGGCATAAACCGTCAGCCGAACCTCCTTATCCTTGGGAGGTGTGGATAGGCCAATTTTTCCTCGCCGTATCACTCAAAGAAAATTGTGACCCGAATATCCTACTTACAGATCCGACAGAAGTACACGACGACCCCCCACCAAGACCTGAACAAATTCCAAATTCAGAAACGGCAGAAGAAGCGGACAGTAGAACCGCAAGAAATGAAGCGGCAATCAGGAGAACAAACGAAGCGAACGAAGAACGAAGAAAGAAGGGAACCGAAATAAGTCCAAATGTGTATTTTCACGAAGCAGATGCAAGGATTAAGTCAAGGTTATTCTTCGCCTGGGGAAACGAAGGGAAGAAAAGATTCCTTCAACAACATGCACATACCAACCTTAACACAGTAAAATTCAAATTTTTCCATGATGCTTGCGAACAACTATTCAAACGGGAAAAGAACTATATCATAGAAAGGATGCAAATCTACAACGCATCGCACGGGGAAGGGAAAACCTCGAATCATTTGACCTCCGCCTAGCAGGACAAGCTTCAAAATGTGGATGGACAGAGGAGACAGAGAAGGTAGTCATTCGCGACATCTTTATTGCAAAAATGAGATTCTCTGACATACAAACAGAACTTTGCATTAGACCAGAAGCCACAGTAGATGATACCCTCAAATCGGCACTACTTCAGGAGAAGTTATACGTGACAGCGAGCACTCTCCAAAAGCAGAACCCATCTACAACGAGCAATTCAGCAAACTTCACAAACTCATCTAACCAGTTTCGGGTCAAACAAGAACCACTGATCCAGTCGAAAAACAATGTCCAAAACAAAATGAATAGAGCGCTAGGGAAAGGAAATTTCAAACCCAAAAATCAGCAAGACCAGTCGAACACTCAATCTAAACCATGCTATTTCTGTGGAAGAAGATTCACACCCGAACACAAATCTAAATGCCAAGCCAGAGGAGCACCATGTAGAAATTGTGAGAAAAGGGACATTTTGCGAAATGCTGCAACAGTAATCAAGTGGCCAATGTCGAACAACCAGATCCGGACGAAGAAGAGGACTGTAACTTCATAGACTCAGACAGCGAAGAGAACTACTCAGTCCTAAAAATCTCGGTAGCATCACTACAAAAGGAAACAGTCAAGAATCTAGAAGTAATCAACTCTGCAACGGGGAAAACTAAGTGTCTAAGAACAACGCTAAAAACAAGAGGCTCTTTATTTAGCGCCACCGTCGACACTGGAAGCCCAGCGTTGTTTGTAAACAAACGTACAGCTGAAACTCTATTACAGAAAGACCCCAACGCAAAGATCATATCACTAGATAAGAATCCGTTATCCATAACGTACGTAGATTACAACCACAAACCGATAAAACTCTTCGGAATACTAGAAAATGACATTTACTCAAATGGATGGAGACTCCGAGGAGCGAAATTCTTAATTTCCGAGAATAGAACCAGATGTTCATTGGGCTTAGACATCCAACCAGACCCGGGAATAGTAACAACTCAACTAAAACCACCCAAAAAGTCAATAAATGCAATTTCAGAAGAGCAAGAAAATGAATCAGTCGAATCGACCTTTTGGAAGAACGAAGTCACTAAGAAATACAATGACGTATTCCATAGATTGGGACGCTCAAAGAACCACAAGGTATTCACGTCATTTAAATCACCATTGATCTCAATTCAGGAAAAAGGCAGAAGAGTGCCAATCCATATTCAAACCAAAGTGGGAGCGGAAATTAAGAAACTCATAAAAGAAGGCCACATAGTAAAACTTGATAAATGCACAATTGATCACTTCGTAGCTCCAGTAGTCATAACAGCAAAAAAGGACGGCACGGTGAAACTAGCAATGGACGCAAAACCAATGAACTCACAGATCTTCAAAAATAAATTTCAGATGCCAAATTTATTAGAACTACTCGACTCAGCAGCCCAAATAATTACAACCAAGACAGAGGGCACAGTCTGGTTTACGTCATTAGATCTAAAGTACGCATTCAGTCAACTCCCATTAGACGAGTCCGTGAGCAAACACTGTAACTTCAGCATCGTATACTGGGAATTTACTGGAACGTACAGATTCAAAACCGGATTTTATGGACTAACAGACATTCCAAAGGAATTCCAGAAGGCAATGGACAACACAATCCAAGGATATCAAGGAGTCTTCTGTTTCTTAGATGACATACTGATAGTATCAAAAGGTTCAGTCACAGAACACAATGAAATAGTTGACAAAGTCCTGTCAAGGTTAGACAAAGAAGGGTTTGCCTTAAAACTCAGCAAATGCAAGTTTTCAAAAACAAAATTAATATGGCTGGGATTCGAGATAAATGAGACAGGAGTGAGACCAAAACACTCAAAAATAGAAGCAGTAATGGCATTACAACCGCCAAAATCTCTGAAACAACTGAGATCATTCATGGGTATTTTAAATCACATGTCCAGATTCATACCCAATCTCCAAAAACACACCGAATCATTACGCCCATCATTGAAGGCGGATAACAAAGAAAAATTCATTTGAAGTGAAGAAGCAAACAACGCATTTAAGAAAATTCTGGAACTAATCGCCAACATAACAAAAATGCACCATTACGACGCCACCAAACAATGTAGGATCAAATGTGACGCCAGTCACAAAGGATTGGGGGCTGCATTAGAGCAAGAATTGGAACCGGACAAATGGGTACCAATCGCATTCACATCAAGATTTTTGAATGCAGCTGAACAAAAGTACAGCACTGACGAGCTCGAACTACTAGCGGTGGTATGGTCATGTGATTTCTTCAGAAACTATTTATTGGGAAACCAATTCCAAATATTAACCGACCACAAGGCCATAGTCACAACATTAACAGAAAACCGAGGCAACAAAACATATCAATACAGACTGACAAGATGGGCAGACAGAATGCTACCATTCGAATATACAATTTCTCACATCGCAGGAGCTAAAATAGGAATGGCAGATTACTTATCAAAAAGCCCTAAATTTGAGGCACCACCTACATCAAAATACGACGAACAATTTGTAGTTAAAGCCATCGAAAACTTTGATGAGGCATGTAGGGTGATTAACACTCCAGCGCCGACAAAAGAAATTGAAAAAAATCCAATTAGTCAAGGCCCACCTAGAGGAAAACAGGATAATTCCAAAGAGATTTACACTAATTGGGAGGGAGAACGGAGGAGAACACCAAATTTCCGAAGCACCGCAAGGGGGCGTCGATATCTCGTACAAAGATTTTATCCAATCATATCCTCCATGCAGAACCGCAAAAAGTAACAAAACATCCGATTCGGAAGGAGCAAGTATCAACCAATCAGAATCAGACATTCGCACATCCGCAAGAGGGTGCATTGTCATGCGGAACTGACACTATCCAATCAGATCAATGTATGCAAATTCACATCCCTCAAGTACAGATCGGAAATTTATGCGGCAAAAACAACAACCAATCAAAACAAGATATGCAAATGCACCACTCACCGCGAGAGGGAGGAAAGCCATGCGGTGAAAATTGTAACCAATCAGATTCGTCAAATTTTAATTTATTCAGAGCTACGCCATATCTAACCAGTTCACCACGAGAGGGCGTCGTAACAAAATCCAACCAATCAGAAGCAATGGAGTTATATTCAGCCAAAAATATACAAATTTCATTGTCCCCGACCTTAAACTTAAACATCAACAGCTCAAATAAATTCATAATCAGCTCAACAAAACAAAATTTTTAGAGGAAAATGAGTAAATTCATCCTGCCATCCATAAAACAGACGATAAACCCGATTGAGGAAAGAAATACAGCAGAAACAAGACAGACAGTGGAGATGATAACCGAGAGCAGGAAAAGGAAAAGGATCAATATCGTAAACAAGAACAAGATGCACTACGCCCGAATTCTGGCAAACTTCAGAACGAACAGAATAAAAAGGACAGTGAGGGTCAACATGATAGCAGATAAAGTTGGAAAGAAGAAAAAACAACAAGCTCCAGTGAACACAAACAAGAAATCATTCACCACAGTCCTCCATAACATACTCGATGCGGATCTATTGGGGGAACTCACGACGGAAGACAGCCAGTTAGGCCAACTAAGGAAACACATCCTAGCGAAGGATAGAGAAGGATTCTTGAGATTGGGCAGCTACATGGCAAACTTTTGGGACGACGCCTCAGTAATCAACGACTGCATCATTATTGACAATAGAGTGGCAATACCAACTTGTCTGAGGAAAGCAGTAATGGCCTGGTTGCACAGAACACACGCAGGACAAGAGGCAATGGTGGACGCGGCACAATATCTGTGGTAGCCGAAAATGCATAGGGAGATCATTGATTTATGCCAAACCTGCAGATCATGTTCAGCGTATGGTAAGAACCTTAAAACGTCTAAAACATTCAATTCGGCAGAACCCTTACCAGAATTATCAGAGGTGAACGAGGAATTCTAAATAGACCTTGCTGGCCCAATGTTCGATTCTAAGGGAAAGAAACTATTCATAATAGTCGGTATTGATCGACTTTCGAAATACCCTTCCGCCATGATCACCAGGAAGTCGGGGAGCAAAAAAATACTCAAATTCTTAAAAAACTACATACACCAACATACCATACCAAAGAATTTAAGGACAGATCAATATTCGGGATTCAAAAATGCGAAAGTAGCAGAATTTTGTAAATCGAAGGGAATAAATCAAATCTTTTGCCCAGTAGGAGACCACCGGGGGTGTGGATTAGTAGAAAAATGTATTCAAATCATAAAAAAAAACTAGGCACAATGCAATTGGACCCAAATTTTGAGGATATACAAACAGCAGTCAAGTCAATTTTGGAAGATATTCGAATATCACGTCACAACATCCTTAAGAAGTCACCTTTCGAATTTCATTTCGGACGGAAACCGAATACGGAATGGTCTAATTTCAGGGATAAACTAAAATGTTCATTAAATCTAGATCAACAGAGACTGGAGAGATCACTATTGAAGCCGCATGAGATGCGAGAATAAGCGGACTCAAGGACTAGATTAAAGGTGATGAAGAAAGGGATGGAAAGCAGAGACGTGTCACCAAAAATGAAGAGGACTGGAGAAGAACCAGAGAGTATCAGGGCATTGGAAAATCTGGCAAAGGCAGCATCGGACTGGAAATTGCACAGGAGACATCTTTCACAGAAGGAGGGATCTGAGGCCTTGAGAAAACTGACTGAAAGAAACCCATTATTAGCAGCAAGCCTCAGAAGCGACTTGAATCAAGGAACTCTAAGATTTAGAGTAGAACCGGAGGTGCCAGAGCACAGGACGAAAACAAGTAATCTAGAATTCGATCTTATTCACTATCCGGAGAAAGTAGTGGTATAACGGAAAATATTAGACAGGAAATCGGGACATCCTTTATTCAAGCGGTTTAATGGGAAAATTGTTAAAGTCGCTAAGAATACTTAGATTACCAATAATGGGAAAGTAATTAGAAAAAAAACCACATATCAATTAAATCGAAATTCAAGTCAGCATATTGTTCAGATTTAGGAAAGAAGACACCAGCCGTAAGCACGCCGAGGAAACCATTACATCAGTGCAGCTCAAGTGGACCAAACAGACCGGTTCATATCCTGCCGACACCAGACGTCTCACCGGTTTCAACGTCAACAGAAAATTCAGACACGGAAAATATAACACTTGACAATTGTTATAACACTCTCGAGAAATTGGATAGACTACATGCGAAGACGATGAAACTATATTCCACGCTGACGAAGACAGCGAGAAAGAACCCGCCAACGTTAGCTTCCAGATATGTAGCATCGCCAAATGTACTTAAAGAAGTACCGAGTGGAGGAGTAATAGACCTAACCATGTCATCAAGCAGCTCCCCAGAACACGAGGTGCAAGTAGTACCATCAGCAGAAAATAGATTAGAGGCACAGTCGACAGAAGAATGTCCAATCTCCATAATACCAGCCGGAACAAAAGAAATGCAAATTGAGAATCAATCGAAAGAAAGCATAAACTGTCCAATTCCCTCAGTACCGACAACAGAGAAGGAGAAGTCGCAAGACAATATGGAGGGGACCCAGAGTAAGACGGCAACAGAGAAGTCAAATACTTCACAGAACGAGGAAGAAAAATTAGACGGAAAGATGGGAATAACATCAGAAACGACGTAAAAGAAATCGGAGGAAAACAAATCAGCAGATAGAAGGAAACCAGAGAAGAAAAGGGAGAAAAGAAACGGGGAAGGTGATAAGGATTCACAGGTGTCGAACAACTCAAGGTCCTCGGGCAGAAGCAAGCGGCAGACACAATTCTTTGGAAGCCCACTAAAACATTCGGTCAAAAACGTAGAAGAGAAACAAGGGTCACAAACTATTCCAATTTCGCCAGGGGAAATTCCGTTATCATCAGAAGATACAACGTCACCATCACCGAGAAAGAAACTTAGGAGACCAACATTCTCGACTAGTAAAATGGAATTACAAGGAAAGAATACTTAATCCCAAAAACTTTTAAACTCATTGACTGAATTTTGTTTATTGTGATCTTGTAAGAGAATTTCAAACGTTGTTGAAATTTTCTAGAGGGGGAAATGTGGTGTGGTGAGTAGACCACCTAAGATAGAGGACGTTATAACTTATTATTATTAATGTTAGAGATCGATTGAATAACACTAATTAAAGACCTGTCAATCACGTTGATTGTTCTAACAACTTGATGGTGCTAAAGACTGAAACTCACTCTGTGTTAACTATTGAGAGATTATAGTTATCTTCTATTCTTTGATCCATACTTACTTATTAAACTTTACTATTAATTCAACTGTATTATTACTCTAGTTTTCAGATAAGATTTAGGGATTATCACACACCCGAACTCAAATTTTTTGTAAAAAGACATATTTTTCTTAAGAAGTTTTACCATTAGTGAAACTTTTCAATTCTTCAGTAGCGAAAAAACGGCAGATGAGAACAAACAGAAGTCTGATTCTACTAAGAAGAAAGACGATGGCAAGAAAAATGATAAACAAAACAAAGAGAAACAAAATGATACCAACAAAAATAATGAGCAAGAAAAGGACGACCAGGAAGACAAGAAAAAAGAGCCGCACTACATGAGAATTCCTTACCAGCTGCCGCGTGAACGAAGAGTGGTGTTCAAGCCTTTGAAGATACTGGAGCAGAAAAGAAAAGATCAGTTGAATTATGATGATCTTCGCAAAATAAGGTACACAATTTTGTAAAACTGATACCAACTTAGATAAGTGTCGGATTTAAAAATAAACATCGGATTTGAAGCTAAATATCGTATTTCAGTAAGAACCTTTTCGAAATTTGGCCACCATACATACAATTTTAAGCCAAGACATAACTGTTGATGTCAAAACGATTCTTCTGACTGCCTTTCAGCGCCAATGAACAAATGTGATTATTGAAACAATCAACAAAAAATAATACATTTTAATCCTCACACACTTATTAATATGCTTTGCGTATGATCACACATGAACTCATAAGACCAGTAGCGTTGCAAGATGGTGGGGCGGGGGGGGGCGTTGACAATACTGGTGCCAAATTTTTCCAAAGGGTCACCTCTTTGGTATAAGTTTACGACATCCATTTTTGGCTGACCAACCTCAAACTTGTTCTAAAGGCGCCTTGGTGCCATTATCATCAATTTTGAAGGAGCGCGCGGCAAAAAAAACGCTTTTTTGGCCCGTTTTTTAGAAAAATTGACTGCGGCGTAGAAAATTTTGTCAAAATAAGGTTTTTGTAGTATTTTCGGATAGCTCGCAAAATCAAATTGATCAAATTAAAAAAAAGTTTTTGAAAAACCGACCCCTCCCCTCCCTCCCCCTCCAAGAAAAAATTTCTGCGCACGCTACTACATAAGACTAGTTTGCTTCTATTCATTTTGGTTTCTTTTTTTGTTTCCGCAATGCACCTGTTTTAAAAAACGACACCAAAATTGTAAGAAATAAACTCTTATTTGATTAATATCTTCAATACTCAAGAAGAGTTCTTGAGATAGAATTGCTTCGCATGAAAAACAATACCTCATTTAAAAACAAGAAAGGAGTTTTAAAAACAAGAGAAAAAAACAAGAAAAAAACTGGAATTTACAAGTCAATTCGTTCAAGATTAATTTGGCTCGAAGGATTTAAAGTTGAGCCCAAATCGGTTTCAAAACTCCCGCATACATTATAGATCTTCTGCAGAATTACACTTTTTTCCTTTAAGTGACAGAATTCGAAACAAATAGCATGCACGTTACTGGCAGAAAATTGAATTTGAACCAAGTTACTTACCTGGGTTGACCTCCATGGACCGAGAACGCTAATAATATAATTCCATAAACTAAATCTATGAAGAAAAAAAAAACTACTCATACTAATTTCATAAACTTTTCTATTATGGTGTCATCGAATTTTCAAAAAACTTGTTTGTTGTTTTGGCATAAAGGTCAGTGTAAAGTACTAACTAAAAAGAAATATGTATCTTTAGCATTTTTATTTTTTTGATGAAGACAACAAAACTTTTTACATGTAATTCCGAAAATGCCCCAAAAATGTTTTTTTTTCAACCGCAAAACAAACTTTGCACTCAAACAAACACTTTCCAAAAAAAACGTTGTATGCAAAGTTTAAGTTTTTGTGTGCATAACGTAGCCCGGGATACACAAAAACTGGATTTTTTCTTACGTTTCTCAGGATACATTTTTTCAAAAATGCTCAAAATTCCTATTTTATTTGTACGGCATGTTTATGTATGCCCTGATAAACGTCTGATTAATTAAAACCTGATAAACGTCTGAAAATTTTAAAAAGTTTCAACTTAAAAATGGTTTTGTCAGAAATTAATAGTTTGATTCTTTCAGTGCATAGTTTGTGTGAGACGAATCTTAGACAATTCAGGTAGTTCCTAGTGCCACATAAATGCAAGACAACAAAACTTAGGTGACTTTAGTTTTGAGTAAAACATCGTTTGAGTCACTAGTGTTCGGTTACGACCACATCCCAAAAACTAAAGAAATCAAGTTTTTTTTAGTTCATGTAAAAATTCTAGTCATACAAGTTCCATCTATGGAAAATCACTAATCATAAACTTTTCATGCAATTTTCATGAATTTGCATGAAAAGTGTATGGTTAGACTTTTTCCATATATGAAAATTGTATGAGTAGTATTTTTGGTCAACCTGGGCGGAGTCCTATTGTTAGTTTCCCTCAATTTTAGTTGCCTGAAAAAAGGCAAGTAACATCAGCAAACTTAGGGGGGGGGGGTGGACGCCCATTTCTTGGGGATTAGACCACCTGCAGACTGAAAGGGTCCCCGATTTTTTTTGTCCCCCATTTGTACTATTTCGAGATATCTTTTCTTTTGGCTGACAAACCCTAAAGTATTTCTAATGCCGCTAATATACTAATTTTAAGGGGGAAAGCGCCAGATAAAAAACGCAATTTTTTGGTCAAAATTTTAGATAAAAAGTCCTAACACGCATTTTTTGACCTTTTTCGGTATTTGCTTGCGGCGCAGAAAATTTGGCGAAAATAGGGTCTGTATAGTGATTTGTCAGAGCTTGGAAAGTCAGTTAGGTCGGCCTAAAAACGGGGTCGATAAAGTTTTAAACTTTTTTTTTAAATCCTCCTGTCATTAAAATTTTAGAACCATCCATGCAAGTAGGATGTCAGTGGTAGTTTTTTTTCAAATCTCTTCCAGTCATAATTACTTTTGAAAAGACATCCTCACAGTCGTAACTTTAAGTTCAGAGTCAAAAAACTTGTGATAAAAAATACTGCACAGCTTTTTTGGCTAATTAGACACGCAGAACAGGCAGAAAAAATTTGTGTTCTATTTGAACCCATTAAGCGTTTTGCAAATTTTTGGCTACTTTTGAAATAATACAATTTTTCTTAAAAATTTAAAAACTTCTTCAAAATTACGCAAAAACATGTACCAGAAAAAATCAATGAAATGAGTCGAGTGATTTATCATGAACTACATTAAAACAGCTTCTAAGCATTTCTCCAGGTGTTGAGAGTGACTGAGTCTTAGTTCAATTTCGAGCGAGTAAAGTGAATGAGTAACGTATAAATGAGAGCCCTTTAGGCTAGAAAAAATTTCTTTTACTTAAAGGGAAACCAGTTTTGGAAGCCTCTTTCAGCGCTCTTTCGGCGGTAAGCATTTTTTTTCTTTCATATTCAAAACTTTTAAAGCAAAATATTAAGATAGTTTTACATTTTTTTTTTCATTTTTTTGTTTATTTGATTTTTTCACGTGTCAGTTGAAATTGATAACAGCTTTAATATAGGTATATGTAACTGCAGAGGCTGAATTAGGAGAGTGGTTCAGCCAGGGGAACCTCACAATTCAAAAGTAGAAGAGGAAAAAGTCAAGCTCAATTATTACAGACCCATCAGCTTATGTTCCACTAATAGAATTGTGTTCAAATACTCCTCTCTAGGCTGAAATTTTTTTTCAAAAAAGCAGAAAAATCGACATCAAATTCTTTTGTTTCGAGAATTGGGTCTTCTTCATTGTGTTCGGAAACCGCAACAAATTTTTGCTGGTGATACTTTTTGTTGTTGATAATACCCGCTCTGAAAATGGAATTAAACATTCAGGGCTTATCATGCAATTTTGTACAATAAAAAATGCTTATAAAACAATTTCATACAACTTTTTAGGCCAAAAAAAACTGTATCAAAATAGCGAAATAAGCATTTTTTTGCGACACTAATTAACAAGCTTTGTGCCATACAATTTGTAAGTAAAATTGTGAGAAAATCGCAAACCCTTTTTTTATCTGAAATTATATGATAAGTTTCTTTTCCATAATCTATAAGATTAAATGACAGGAATTTTTTAATTTTTTCCACAAATGGAAATGCAAAAAAAATGATTTCGAAATTTTGTGTTCTATTCATCCAAAAACACACTAACCAAAAAATTCTGTTACAAGAAAAGCCAGAGTGTAAGCTGCTGTTACCACGAAGTTAAACTGCATTCGGTGAGATTAGCCTTGTAAGTTAATGTTAACAACTTCTTCATATAGAATTACTTACTAAAAACGTAAAACTTGGTATATGGCTAGAAAGTTTTTACTTTGAATTTTTTGATGGTTGCGAAAAGCGACTTGTTTTTAACAAACTCATTTTTATCTTGGCATATTAAAAATATAGTAATTTTGATAATTTTTAAAAACTACACTAGTTTGAAATGTTTCGTTTTTTTGGGTAATAAACTAAGCCTGGGCTACGCTATACACATAAAGCATTTAGTTTTGCGTGCAAATTTTTTTATATATGAAAATGTATGATGAAAAAATTCTAAGAAACTGCCACAAAAAAATAGATAGAAATAATGCATATCATACAATTTTCTTCGATGAATAGATTCCATAGATTCCATATATGAAATTGTATGACAAGCATTTTTTTGTATGGACGTCAACCCGAGATTACGAAGCCAAACTGTGTATTTTGTGAATTGTTAGCGGATTCCGCAAAAAGGACGCTATTTTTGCTTTTCTTTTGTTCTTTCCTTTTCTTTGATTGTTCCAACAAAACTCTAACCTGTTTAAAGACATGCTTCTGAATTCCAAGACTTGTCTCTGGATTCCAGAGAACCACACACACTAATTTGTGCGCCTAACCAGTGCACAGTTTGGCCTCGTTGAAAGTTGGTGCAATAATAGCTTCAAACTTGCCAAGTGCCAAATTTTCATTAATTGTTTTGACCTGTAAAACTGAGACCCGCAGAACAAACGAAATGGCACTTTTTTATAATTTTCTGAGTTCACCATCAAACATCATTCAAAAGTTTGGAGTTGAAGCCGGTGAAAAGTTACTTCGAAAAAAAATATGAAAACAGTTTTCGAAAGCGTAGAGTACCATTTTAGGAAATTTTGTCCCAATTTCATGAACGCATTTTGTTCTCTTCATTTGTATGTAGTAAATTTTGATCGCGGTCATGAACTGATTTTGTGCAAAATTTTATTGGTCGTTTTTTCACTGAATCAACTTTTTCAAGAATAAGTGGTATGATGACATAACCTTATTTTTGTCATACAAACAGTTTACGAGTCATTTCTCGGCATGTTTTTTTTTTAATTTATCTCAAATTGTGAATAATTCACCACTTGATTTATCAAATTTGAGTAGCTTGAAAACTGGCAAAAACTCTTAAGGTGCAAAAAAGTGTTTTTATGTTATTCCCTGAAGTAAATTTTAATATTTCTGTTCTTATTTTTAAATTCTAATGTATAAACCAAAAATCGTTTTCGAGTGCAAAAACTTTCAGATTTGTCGCTTAATTTTAACTTTTAAAGATTGTTTCAGAATAAATTGCTCGTTAAAATTTTTCTCTGAAAATATCTCTTTCCTTTGGTCAACAGTGCAGAAAAATTAACAAAATCTTGTAAACAGTTTGTTGGGATTTTTTTTCAGTTTCCGGTTGTTTAATTTAACAAAAGCTTTTGCACTGTCCAAAAAATTTGGCAGTTTTCTGTTTGAGCTAAGGTTTGAACAAAACCAATTGTCCCCAAAGACAACCCAAAAGTTTCAAAAAGTTTGCCCACTTGTTTAGGAAAGAAGTGGAGGAGCAAAAGCAGGAGAGAAGTGCTGTCCGATACGAGGAGAACTACACTCTCACACAGAGAGATTGGAAAGACATGGAGTTCGACGGCCTATACGATGTATGTATCCTTCTAGTAGCTTGACCTTTTCAAAACCATGCGGATCTTTTCTGTCCTAAGGCCCAAAGTTATTCATTCTGTTTATATGAATAATGTATCCTTCTATGAATAATACTTTGATCCTTTAAAAACGAAGAGGATTTTTTTTGTTTTACAGCCCAAAATTAATCTGTTTTTTAAAAAGAATGATAACGCATGAATCTAAAATTGTTTTCCAATGCAGTCATTTTTGAAAATTGCATTTACCTTAACTTCGGTCTACGAAGATTGTTTTGGATTTATTGGAACATTTATTCTAAATTTTACAATATTTTACAATCTGAAATAAAATGCCAGAAATCTCAACGGTGCCAAAAGTAAGCGGTATGACACGGACGCATAAAGGTGCATGCCAAAAATCACCCCAAGTTCTTAAATGGTTCATCTGCTTTAGTTGAGACTTGAGGCAGACAAGAAGCGACTGCAGAAGCCTATAGTCAGATACTTCGGTGCATACAAAAGAGGCAACAGGGAGGCGGCCACAGAACTTGCTCAGCCTCTGGACCCCACCACTGCCGACGAGCTAGAGTGCAAGAAGCTGGACACTTTGCTGAACAATCTCCAAAAGACATAGAAGTCTTAATTGCATGCACTTAGAGATTGACCAAGCTCGACCTGAAAATTACCTTCTCCTTGCGATTTGCGTTTCGAAAGAACAGAAAATTTGAAATGCTTGCCTTAAATAGCATCTGCATCACTAACAAGTTGCTGCTTTTAGCTTAAAAATTGCGTATATTTTTTGAAACTGGGTTTTTATAAGTTTGAGTTGAGGTTTGACCTAAGCCAACCGCGGCTCAAGGCTACTGAAATATGTCTGAAATATTTTCTGCAGGACATGAAATGCAGGACTTGTTTTCTTATCTGTTAAAAGATATGTGGGTGAGCGTCACCCATTCTTGAACTGAAAACACATTTGAAAATTGATACCATTTAACTGGTCTAGTATCTAGAGGTTTTTGTAGAACTAAACGTAACTATTTCTCACCCAGTTTTTTTAAGTGAGATATTGCCTGACCTGTTCATTCTAAGTTCGTGTGCTGTAGAGAGCTTCTGGTTCTAGATTTGAAACTCACCCTGAAGATAGAGCTAGTTCAATAAACTCTCAATTTTTAACAGATACGCACATTTAAAGTTCCTGTTTTTTTTTTCATTTTAAGCTTAAGGTATTTAAAATCAAAACTGTACAAAAGCAAAAAAAAATAGTTAATCACGTTTAGAAAACCTATTTTTCATTCAAGAAGAAATAACTTAAGCGAATAGTTTAACTTTTTCCAACAATTAAATCGTTACGTAATTACTTTTGATTTGCAATCAAGATCTTTTTGAGCATCTCCGATTCGTGTTCTCGCAGTTTTAATTAAATCAATATTTCAATTAAAAAACTCAAATTTTTGTTTCCAATGATCGTAGCCCTTGTTTGGACTTAATCAGAATTGTAAAATAACCCAATAAAGTAAAAACAAATTGACATTATATTTCTTAATGAAGGGTTCACCAGTTAATGAAATCATTTTTTTTTTCAATTTTCGATGTTAAAAGAACAAAGAAACTCAATTCTTTCCCCAATAATTTTTTTCAAAAAAGTCTAAATTTAACAGACATTTAGTACGTGATAGGTGAAGATTGCAAACATTACTTTAGGAGACTCTTTACAAAAATAGCACATTTGCCTTTTGCCGTAATTACTAATTTATGCGAGTTGTCGTTTTTATGAGTTGTTTTTTTTGCCATAAACTTGACCAAAAATTGAATCTTGCGACTTGCTGCTTTTCTTCGCAATATCATAAGATGAATCTGGTTTTGTTATAATTAGGATAAATAGTTTCGTGTTGGTTTTTACAGCCAATTTTGACTACCCAGAAAAAGCAGCTACGGGTCAAATGTGGTATCATATTAAAGCTTTTTTTGGAAGACTGCTTAAAAATTCGAAAAAATCTCAATGTCGAAAAAAACTATACGAACTTTTTCTTTTTTTTTGGGCTGATTTCAAGAAAACTTGATAAAAATTAAGTATTTTTTGCTAATTGCAGAACATCTATCTAAAATTAGTCAGCCAGCCTCAATCACTCAATCAATTTTTGGAATAGTTGACGCGCAATATTTTGCGTGTTTATAACAAGCGTAAATGGTTAATTAAAGCATTCTAAAATGAATTGAGTCTAGCCATTTGGACCTTTTGCTAGGATTCAAAACGTTAAATACATCACTTAATAGTTTAAATAAGCGTGTGGGGGAAAATACTGCTGGAAAAAAAGACAAAAAAATGCTGTTGTTCGATGCAATTTGCCGGGATTATTCCAAAGCATATAAACTTATAAAAGAATAAACGTTCTAAAATTGATAGTTAGGGTGATTTTTTTTGGATGGTTTTGACCAAAAATTAAGATTTGCGCTCTGTTGATTTTAGGTTAAGCATGTTAAGGAATCTGTAATCAAAGTTTTGCAAACGTCTTTTTCATCCTATTGCAATTTTTTTTCAGGCACTGATATTTATCATAAATTTTTGTACAAATATTCACAAAATTATTTAGAAAGTAAATCAATCATTTTCATTGGTTTTTGCATAAGCAGGAGCGAAACATGTAAAATGATATTTAATGAGCCTTTTTACTCGGACTTAGAGTTGCAATGCATAATTCCAAATGTTTTTTTTCTAATTTATTTAGTTTCATTGGTTGTGGTTATTCTTGAGTAAAAAATAGAAAAAATAAAAGAAAACAATTGAAAATTAAAAAATCTTTAAAAATAATTCTTTAAAATGGTAGAAAATAGGAATCTAAATAAACTTTTCAATAGGTACAAAAAATGCATTGAGTTCAGCACATGACTAGCTAGTTATTGAACAAGTACGACAGTCTACTTCAAACAAGGTAATCAATTAAAAAAGGTGTTAAGTCTAATTTCTGACAATTTTAATGAAAATTGTAAATTTTACTAAAATTTAAAAAAGAGTCATTGAATATAAGGGCAACGTCTGCATGTTTTGATTGCACTTTAGGGCAATTTTTTTAAATTGATTGAAAAATTGATAAAGTAATAGAAAAAAAAAGACAGCATTTTTTCCCTTTTTTTCCTTCAAAATGCCCCAGATGATATGCTAAGTACAAAGGGTAGTATTTAGCCTGTCGTATTTTAAGTATTTGGACAAATGAATTACCTCAATTCAATTTGAATTGCATTTAACTGCCACTTAAGCGTTTTTACAGGTTTTTTTATAATAATTTTAAGCTCCGGGCTTTAAAAAACCTTGTAGATGGCAAAAAAAATCCTTCAAAACGTTTAATTAAATTGTCCAAAATTTTACAGAATAAAAAAAGCGGAACAATAGTATCATCCAACTTTGTCTGGTTTTTGGCAAACAGTGGTGGTTTAGGATATCCGGACAAAACGAACAAAAGTTGATTTTTCATTTGCGTTTTTTTATTCATATTGGGTCGAGATTAGACAAAAAATGAAGAAAAACAAATTGCTAAAATTATATGGTACCTTTTTTTGCTAAAATTATAAACAAAATTTTTTTACTTGAAAAGTGGGTCAAGAATTACGCTGAAACTAGCAAGTTAATTGATGAAAAAATAGTATTTAAAACCTATTATACAGCTCAACAAAATTCTAGAAAAACTAATTTTCCAAAAAATTGCATAGTTGTTTAAAACTTGTTTTTAAGCGAAGTTTTTGATTCGTATGTAGTAAAAAAAATGACCTTTTTTGACTATCAACTAGAAGTATTTTTTTGAATAAAATTTTTTAGGAAATTTAAAATTTCTAGAACTTTTTTGGATTGTGTGATAGGCTTCATTTGGTGTAACTATCTCATCAAATTCACCGAGTAGTTTCAGCGTCTATCTTGATTAATAGAAAAAAATAAACCTATATCGGGGTAAAATTTTGCTAGAGAATTTTGGATAAAAAATTGCATCATAATAAATGAGGGAAATTCTAAGCAATTTTTGTTCTCTTCACTTTTTGTCTAACATCAACCCAATTTGAGAAAAACGCGTTCAAAATTTCAATGTTTGTTTGTTTTGTCGGGCTAATCAGCTGTAGTTTCTACAAAAAAAAGAAGTCATTCAATAAAAACTGATTAGTCTACATGAGGTTTCATCCATAACTATTCAACGGTAGAGCCGGGTCGTTGCTGGGATTTTGTTTCGACTGTTTCGATTTAAAATGAGTTTGTTGCGATCATTATGACTCAAAACAAAACAGGTAAGTCACAACTTTATGCGGCCGATGCATTTTTATGCGATTTTGCGAGACCCAAAAAAGATACGTTGCGACCCAGACAAGCTAGATAAAAACTAGTATTGGTTAAGAGAAGAAAAATTTTAATTACCTGAAAATTCACTACTCGGGAAGAGGTCTACTTTAAAATGAAGTTCGAAGCAAGTGAATAACTCCAATGCTTTAGCATAACTAACTGAGTAAGTTTTCAAGTAACTAAAATTTTTCTTCTTTTAACGAATACTAGTTGTTATCTAGGAGAACGAAAGTTGATGAATAATTAAAGTACACTTTTTCGTGAGAGTTATGAAAAGTATGGTAAAACAAAACATAATTCTTAGAAACAGAATCTGCGAACGGAATTCCACATTCTCGCAAGAGGCTTGGGTCGCCCAAAATTGCAACATGGGTTGTGCAAAGTTGAAACATAGCTGAAATGGGCCGCTCAAAGTACCCATTTTGAGTCTCAATATCTGTTCTGAGTCGCACAAAATTGCCCAAATTACTACGGTCGCACGAAGTCGCAACATACCAATTTTGAGTCGCAATGGCGCAACATATCTTTTATGGGTCGAGCAAAGTCGCAATATAATTTTTTTGGTCGCGCAAAGTCCCATAAGAATTCATCGGTCGCGCAAATTGGAAATATACTCAATTTGGTCGAGAAAATCAAAACTTTTTTATGCGAGGTCAAAAAAAAATACAAATTTTGAAAAATTGTCGGTCAAGAAATCGAGAAACTCAAAACTTATTGAGTTTTTTGCGAGAAAGTCATAAAGTGTCTATGCGGCGTCGAAGAAACTAAGTTTCAAATTTTTAAAAATTGTCCGTCGAGAAAATCGAACAAATCGAAATTTGGTCGATAAAGTCCAAACATATCTAAGCGGGTTGGAACGAACCAAGTCCTAAAAACTTTCGGTCCAGAAAGTTGAGGAAAACGAAACATATCAAATTTTGGCCGATAAAATCGAAACATATCTGAACTGGGTCGAACAAAGTCGAACACTTGTTTTTTTTAGATCGAGAAAGTCGAAAAACACAACAATTTGGTCGTGAAAGTCAAAATACACCAATATTTGGTCAAGAAAGTCGAGAAATACCGATTTCTTGGTCGAGAATGTCGAGACATAAATTGAGCACCTCGACCCGGGCAGCTACAATACCTATTGGTCATTTTTTATTTCGACCACTGAAACAAAATTTTCTTGCAAACATGACTGCGGTCGAAGTATTACCGTCTACTAATAGGCATCGAAATGTGTCTATTCTATAAATTTCATGCACTTTCATTTAAAAAAGGTGGTACCGCTCAATAGGAACAAAAATCACATGCAACCTTTTTTTTCCTAGAGCTGCGCACAAAGCAGTTTCAACGGAGGCGTGCGTACAAAGAATGAGATAAATATCACTGTGTTTTCTCCGATCGGCATGAATTTTAAAATCTTAAGTGCAGAAAAACGCTAAAAGATTGAGCAACAGACTATTTTTGCAGTCCATAAAAAACTATTTTATTATGTCGCTCTGACAACTTACAGGCTTATTCGCGTGCCTGTTTAACTTACTTTTTCTTTCGAACAATGTCTCTGCGACGTTCAAATTACTTCAAGTTATAGCATCTAAAGAAACTCAATCGATAGCCAAATTTGAGGGGATGTACTTGTAATATTGATCTATTAGTTTAACTATGTTTTGTTTTTAGTTTGAATCTTTATTCAAAATTGCCTAGCTTTAGAAATTTTTCCAGTTTCATTTACATTTTGTGATTGTTCAAAATCGAGTCAATTTGAAACCAGCAAAAAGATGAATGAAAACAACATATCGATTTTTCTTTCCTCCTCGTCCAATTCTTTAAGGTTGAGCTAAATTTTTGTATTCTTCCTTCAGGGTTCAGCCCGACTTTTGTACCCTAGATACACCGGCTACCATATTTAACCAACCCCACCATTTTGGGAATTTTAGAAAAACATTTTGTACCGCCAGGGATTTGATCTTTTGATCTCAAGAGTTTGAGTCGAACGCATTAACCACATTATCAATTCGACAGCATTCGACTTTGAGCTGATTGTTGTTCAATTTTTGGTTTTGTGATCTGAAATTTCGCTTGTAATTGAGGTTTCAAAGAGTAATCAGTTCTCCGACGCCAAAAGATAAGGGTAACAAAACTCAAATAGTTTTGGATTGATTTGTATGGGACTTTTTTTTTCAATTCTTTTTTTGTTTTTTGGACTGTTTTGTATGTGACTTCTTTGTATTTGCACTATTTGGGGCAAATACTGCGAGCGAGCAGGCTTATAGTAGAAGGTTTATTTAAGTTTCAAAAATTTAATTTTGCTTAAATTAGTGTTTGTTATCTTGGGACGAAATTTTTTTGTGCTAAACTGAGAAAACTGCTGCAGAAATTCTTTTAAAAATTCAGATATTTTTCTATTGTTTTTTCAATTTTTTAAAAGCAGTGTTTTCAAAACTGCCTAATTTTTTTATAGTTCTTTTGATAGTATCTCATCGGACAATCTGACCACTGACGAAGAGAAACTTTTCTTAAAGTTTTTGTCTATTGTGGTTGCAACCTTCTGCGCTACTTGCACAGCAACTGGCTATCCTTGATAATAAATTGAAAGTTGATGTTCTGTTTTTGCATTTGCAATCAAAGCGAGGCAGTTTTCAATTCAAATCTCTGATAGGAAAACCAAAATAAAAAAGAAATGTATTATTTTGATGATTGATTACAATAATTTTGATGAACAAAAAAATCAAACAGAAATAATGGAATGTTAAGTTGAAAAAAAATGATTTCTGTGTTCAAAGCATCTATTTTATGTTAGAGTAATCTCTGTCCATTTCTTATTATGCTAGTCCAATTTAGTTATTATTTCTTATTATTTCTCTTCGCTTATTTGTCGGTACAACGATGACACAAGTTGAAGTTGTCTTTGCAATGGTTTTTCAGCATCGTTCAACTCGGCAACTTTTTTCTGATAATTCTCATGCAGCAATTGCAGTTTGCAGTGTTCGATTTCCAACTTGCGAACTTCGTCTGAATCGTTCATTTTCGTTCTTTTTACCAAATCCTCCCAGGAAGTAGTGCATAAATTCAAACTCCCTGGAGATAAGTCCAAAACTGAGTCCTTTCTCTCGCCTTTCACATCTGTTCTGCTAAAGTGAGACTCGCTATTTTCAACTTGAGCGCTGGATCTTTTTCTAGCGTTCGTTTTCCCGTTAATACTGGTCGGGGTAATTTTGGATTGACTGTTGTTTATAGACATACCAGATGAGTAGCTGTATTGTTGTGAGTTTTTAGGGAGGGACGCGTCCAATACAGTAGAATCCGGTTCCACTTTGATTTGCATGGCATTATTTAGTGGCGTCTGTTCTGATGACAACAAACTTCTGCTTTCTTGATGGCTATTCATGTTTAAATTTAGCCCCAAAGCGGTTAAATTTGACGCATTCGACAAAAAACTGGTTGCTGCGTTTAGAATGAATGAGTTTCCGGCGACTGATGGGTACATTGCGGCTGCTGCTTGAAGCAGTATTTTCTCACTAGTTCCGGCCAATGACAAGTTGTTCAGAGCTGAGCTTTGATTGGTCGAAATATTCGCAGCAGCACCCTCATTGGTCAATTTCGGGCTTGAACTGTTTCCGCTGGCAAATATCCCATTAGTTGGAAACTTTGGTTGATTTTCAGTGTCCGTAAGCTGCGGTTTGAGTAACTTAGATGATTGACTGATTTCAGGTGTTTTCGTGCCGCACTTGAAAACTTTTCCAGATACTTGATAGTCACGTTTAGTCGGGCTTATCGATCTTTTCTCGTAATCTAGCCATTGCATAATAAGGGTTCTCTCACACGGGTTGCAAACTACCGCTGTATCAAAATTGTCCAAAACTATGCATCGAGGATCGAAACTGATTTCGGTCAAAAAAGGGAACTGACTTTTACCGATGACGCGAACTTTAGGTCGTGCGACGCTTTTTGTGCATACAACGCAGCAGATGTTCAAGGAATAACTTCGCATTGTTTTCGGTCGATTGTCTTTGGCTAACTCATACCAATTCCACTGGGAGACTAAATTATGGTAACAAAATCGGCAACTTAAAATCATTCCATCCTTTGAAATAATTTGGGCGCCTTCAGCTGGGTTCAAGTTTTTCAGCAAGGGAAAGTAAGGAGTCTTTTCATCGTTTGGTCGCTTTTCTCCAAATAGGTAATACACTTTACCTGTTGATTTATAACCTTCGCCACAGAGATAACAAATGATTTGTTTTTGACTTTGACTGCCCATGAGTCCCATAGTTGGTAAAGTATACGCCCGGTTGTTGAGGCTGATTTTCTGTTGGTCGTAAAAGTTTTTCTGGATCAAAAAATAAGCCATACATTTCTCACAAGCTGTCGTTTTTCGGACTCTTTGCGGGAAGAATTTCGATAATGATTTGAATTCGTCATTTTCTTCCAAGCGCACTGATGACATTTTGTCTTTCGACTTACTGCCCTGTCGGCAAATTTGACAGTAACTGGCGTAGCAAATATCACATGTAAGAGATAAATCGTTGCCGTGTGATGCAAATATGCTACCACAACAGTAGCAGAAACTGTGGTCGGAGTAGCGTAGCGAGTACACTCTAATATCCGTCGGGATTTCGGCTTTTTCAAACTTCACCCATTGACTTTTCAAGTTTTCGTCGCAGTCTGAACATGCGAAGATATCTCCGTTTTTGATATGAACTTTGGTCGAATGAGGAGGTTTGATGTTGCGGAAGCACGGGTAGTACCGGGACGTCGGCGTGCGTTCCGGAGGCGGATCTGTCAGGATGATTTTGCGCTCCGAGAAAAGCAGTCGATCGTTGCAGAGAAAACACGAGATCTCTTCATCGTTGGTCGATTTTCCGAGACAGTTCAAGGCCGGAGAAGTCATTATTGAACTCGCCGTGATCGGTTTAACGGCTGCTGCATAAGCAGCCGTCACTTGTTTTATAACTCCATTCGTGAGTGCGTCCGGTGAAAGCTTCTCGGTTTTCGGCCCAACAAGTTTATTCGGTGTTCCTGTATTCTTTAACGTCGAAAACACGAGTTCGCCTAATGGTTTCACGCCGTTCTCGGCTATAGTATCCTGGGTATCCATTACAATTAGGTTCTTCATAATGTGTTTCTCTCGTGGAGTGAATTTGCGGCAATTGTCGGGTCTTTTCATCCAGTAGAGTCGTTTCTGTCTGTGTACTAGTCCTTCGTCGTATACCGCCCATTGCTCGTGCAGAAAAGTGTGACACAAGGTGCACACGAGAGCGGTTCCGGAGTCGGTGATCTCGGGGGAACACTCGGCTGGTTCCTGGTTGAGGATGAAAGGAAAAAAAGGTCGGTTTTTGGAGTCGGGCTGGGAGTTGACTGGACTGAGCTCGGTGGTTATGAAGCCACAGACAAAACAACCGAAGTTCTTGTTGGCCGAGTGAGCTTCGGTTAAGACTGATGTCGACTTCCGAGGCATTTCGTGCTCAAATTCTGTCAGTTATGATGTTTTTTCGTCTAAATAAAGAATAAGCGTTGAATACTTGAATTTACTCTGCGTCAGCAAATTAATGGGCTGATCAAAAATGACTAATGAATAAAAATCATTTTTTCAAATAAAAAAATATGATTTTTTGAAAAATAAACATAACTCAGAGTACAACACACCTATTTGTTGTTTCTTCCAGAAATTAGTAATGGGTGTTTGACGAAAAAAAATGTATATAATGAATCGTATTTTTTGAGTTTGATTTAAAGTTTTTATTTAAATTTTCAAACTTTGACTATCACAATTGCGTTCAACGTGACATAAATATGGAGAACATAAAAATGAATCAACAAAAAATGTGCTTAAAAACACGGCACATATGTTGCGGTATACGTGTACATAGATGGAATGTGATAAGAGATAGCAGCTAACAGGATGTTACAGCTACAAACATTCAACTGTAGAGTAGACCAAACCAGCTAAATTCAAAGCGACAGAAGGCTCAATGGAGAACAACACACACAACAGCAGTGCCTGAAAAAAATAGAAAAATAAACGAAGAGAGAGAAAAAAGAAGAACAGAGGGTAAGTTAGCTGTGAGTTGGAATTGAATTGTAAGAGGGGAAAATGGACGATGATGGAAATAACAGCCGTGTATTTCTGACTGCTATAGAAAATCCCCTTCTGTGGGCTATTATAGACACAGAACATATGGGCACGCGCTCAATTTGGATAGACCTCTCTGACCCAAGATATAACCAAAGATTGTATCCACAAAAATATATTGAACGGAACGCTCACAAAAAATCAAGTGACATTTTTCAAGCAATATGGAAAGCATCATAAAAATGAAAAATTCTATATTTTAGTATTCCAGAATAAAATCCGAATTTAGGTTTGCGATAACCCCAAAAGACTAAAAATTTAATCATATTCAGCTGACTTTGGCCATTTTTTTCAGTTACCTGGCAACAATCTTTTATCTTCAGGCATCAATCAAAAATTGGGCAGCTTTATTCTTTCAAGAAAAAAGTTGCTGTAATAATTTTTTCAATTTAGGACGGCCAGCGCTGTCTGCGTAAAGAACGCTCGGTCAAATTTCCTTATATCGCGTATAGTGTAATTTACCCATCAAACAGGTTGCTATAGCAATGATGAATTGATAAATTCTCTGAGCTCTGTTCCCATATTGCAAAAATATCCCCTTGCTACAAGGTGCGTCCCGTCCGACCGGCTCTTACCCTTTATTTACCTAGCACATACTGGTTCGAAGTTGTACCGGTTACGGAAAACAGGCGTAAAAATGGCAAATTAAGAGCAAAAACTGAGCATAATGACTTTTAGTTGAAGTGGCATGCTTTTGAAGGAAGTATCGTGTATCTAACTAAACATAAGGCCGCCTGTCAAAAACTTTAGCCGAAAGTTAAACAACAGTCGTTCATCTGATTTTTGATTAATTTTAAATTAAAATCTAGGGCTTAAAAAGTCAAAAACAGCTTCCATTTCAAAACCACCACTATCTTGTCTTTTTCTTGGCCATTCTGAAAATGAGGTCGTTTGCTATTTGCATGTCTTTTTTTGCGCTTTTATATTTCAGTTTTTCCCTTACAGGTTATCATCTGTGCTAAATTGTTCTCTTTTTCCCGTCTGTTTTTCATGCATCAGTTATTTAGCTTCGGTTTCTCAAGCTATATGCACAGGCACCAGTGCTAGTTAAGTTGGTACCTAAAAAAGGATTGCCCAAAGAGAACAAAAATAACAGGACTGCTCGATCAGTGCAAAGCCTGAAAGTTCCGACTGCCTTTTAAGGTCTATGGAGCAGTAATAGCATGAAAAAAATTAAATGTAATAAAAATAAAACGAAATTTTAAAAAAATTGAGATTTTTTGTGAAAATCATCCCCCCACACGCCATATAAATAACAAAGTGATAAATTTCGCTCCTACCAACAAGCCAATTGTGGCAAATAAGTTTCCTTCAACCATTTTGGAACGATTTCTATGACGGATTAAATCTCCGCTTACGCTTTAATAGCGTGAAATATATCGCGCGTTAGTTGTCCCAAATTGGCCAAAATTACAATTTTTAAACCCCGATAACTTTACGAAAAATGATCACAGGTGAAATATCTTTTCAAATTTGAGCTCAGGACAACAATACCTTTCGAATGATGTAAAAAAATTCCGTCAAAAATGGCTAGTTAATAAGTCGAAATTTGTCTGAAGAAAAAAACCCACCCCGAGCACAAATATTCCGTTATTTTCGTTATAAAAGTCGGAACAAAAAAAATATGTTAGTTGACGCGTCTGTTTTTTCTTAGGCTTAGAGCTTTCTCTAAAGAGCACGTCTGTTTTATTCGACCGTTTCCATCGAAGGAATAGAAAAAAAAAAGAAATATGCAGAAAAAAAAATTAACGAGTTTTTGAAACCATTGGAAAACTAGTTTTATTCTAAAAGATATTGCGACTATAGTATGGCTTTTTTTGATAATTTGATCAAGTCAACTTACCGATAGTTTTTGCTATTTTTTCTCCAATGATTTTTTTTCTGATAAATTACAAGTTTTCACCAACTTTTTTTCGGGAAGAGTAATTAACTATCTTGATCTGGAAGCCAGAACAAACTCGGAAAAAATGAAGCGCAGGTGACTAATTGAGGGGACTTGTTTAAATTATATTAATAGTTGGTTAAAATGGGACCATAGGAACACATGGCTCTCTCCGATTGTTAGTTGGATAGCATCAAATTCTCATTCGCTTGAGTCAGTATCAGGTGTGCCATGTTAAATACGAAACAAGGCTCAGCTGTATGCTCTTACTTACTTCTAATTCTTAAGTATTTTCTATCCTCCATATGGTGCCTGAATGTAATAAAAAAGACTTTCGCATAATTTCCATTTTCCATCTTAATCATCATCAGTACCGAAAATCAAATTAGGTGAGCTAAGACCCGAAATTTTTTTTCAAAAAATCAACGGAATGCATTTTTCAATATACATAATTGCGTTTTCAAAAAAGTTAAGGAACCAACTAAGCGATTGAAAAACCGCAATCAAAATAAACTTTACCGAGTAAAAATCACCTCTATAGTTTCATAGTTCCTTTGACGGAATCAAAAGCAAGTTTTGATTAACAGCTTTTCTAAAAAATTGTTTTGTAAAAACATAGCCAACAGACAGTTGGAAAAGAGCCAATGAACACAATTAATCAGCAAAAAAACGTACTTGATACTTTTTGAAAACCTCAACTACGAATTCCAAAGAAAAATTAAATGGCCTTGAGGCTCTTTGAATTTCTGGAAAAAATTACGACGACATTTTTTTGATTAAATTAAACTAATTTCAGAAAATTGGACCATTAGGTAAATTTTTTAAAAGTTCAATCAAGTAACGTTTTTTTAGCTTTACACTTTTGCTGCTCGATAGTAGAGTTTGCTATAGTTTTAACAAAAGAAATGAACTTCTAGTAATGAAATCATTAATCAAGCCTCGAAAAAATATATTTGATTAGGAACAAACTTAAAGACTTTTGCTGAAAAAAAAATCATTGGACCTATATGAGAGTCTGAACTACTTACATCTCGACTCTTAGGAAAATGTGACTCTTAGAAAAAAAATCAGTCACAAAATAATTCAAACTAGTGAGTATGTACTTAAAATAAGGAATCCGCTGAAAATAATCGGCCAAACTAAGCTAATAAAAAACCATCGACGCCGAATTTTGCAAACAAGCGAAAAAATGTCAGAAGGGCATCTCATAAAGGCAAGTTTTTTGCTGGCTTTTATTTTCAACATCCATTTTTTTTTTTGGTTTGATCACGTGAACTTTGTTAAACATAAATTCAACACATGAAATTCTTGATTTTTAAACAATTTTTACTTAAAACAGCTACATTGGACATTAAACATGCCTCGTTCAATGCTTCAGTCATCAATCAAGGATCATTCAACATGCATCAACAGATATTTTAGTAGATATGCAAAAACTATAACTTGCATCGAGAAATTTCAATTCAATTTATTGCTGGAAAAACCGAGGCACGAGGCATGAATTTAAAGATGCAATATGAGCTGTGGCTTATCTGGTATGAAACACTTGTAAAAAAAATAGTCAAACAAAACCCACTCATTTGACACAAAACACACCCATAAATTTCACGCTTAAAATAGCGCATTAGTCTTTCAAATATTGTACAAGTGTTTCAAATAATGCACTAAGTTTTCAAAGATGTCACTTTTTTCAAATGGTACTCTAGTGTTTCAAGTGGTACACAAGTGGACAATGTTTGCTAATAATTTCAACAAAACTTTTCATCGACCAACATCAAATGATTTGAACTACTCTCTCTGAAAGTCTCAATTTTTTATTTGAAGATTTTTTCCGGGTCTGAAAGTGCCAGTTTCTACCGTCTGCGAATAAGCGCAGTAAAAAAGTTATTCATGCGATATGGAAGATTTTCAGCGAAAAATTGAAATAATCAGTGTGACAACTTTACTAAACTCAGCTATATCTTAAAATTTCACTCATTTTGAAAAATCTACTGCGGATTATGAAAACTAGCATTTCCAGTCCCGGAAAAAACTGCTAAATGCTTATGAGTAAAAAAAAAAATTAGACTTCCAGAGAGGGTAGTTCAAACCATTTGCTGTCGGTCGCTCTAAGGTTTTCGTTTAAACTCAAAGTAATTTTTGTCCAAAATAATCTTTAAATTTAGAGTTTTTAGTGAGTAAAGAATGATTTTGCGTTTAACTTTATCGACAAGTGTAGATAAGCAACAGCTATATATTGCATCGAGAAATTTTGTGAACAAGTCGATACTCGTAGTGTCGAGATGTGAACAAAAATCGAGATGCAATATAAGCTGTTGCTTGTCTGGCATAAAACACATGTAAAAAAATTAACAAGACACATAATTTTGAAAACTAACACGCGACTTTATCTTTCTAATTTGTTTTAGTTGATTGAACTAGGAAAAATTATGAACTAGTATTTCAAATATTTCACTATTGTTTCAAATATTGCTTTATTTTTTCAAATAAAGCACGGAAACACACTGAACACGTGTGTTTTATTCCAAGATATCTCGTAATAGAAAACTTTTAGGGTCAGTCAGCCAAAAATATAAATATCAGTAGCGGATTTAGGGGGGCTCCCTTGTACAAATTTCCAAAAATTGCTTAAAAACGGGGCAGAAAATTTGACCAAAACAGAGTCTTTTTAGTGATTTGAGAGAGCTCGGAAAATCTATTTTGTCCACCGGAAAAAAGATCGACAAAAATGCGCCCCTCGAGAAAGTCCTAGATCCGCCCCTGTATATATATTGGAAGAAAAAACAATAAAAAATGTATCAAAATTTTTTCTATTATTATTCTTTAAGCAGCCCTGGCTTGTGTAAAACAGAGAAACATTTGAAAAAACAATTTAATATTACAACTCACTTTTCTGCTTAAACTTTTTTCGCCAACAGAATTTTATGATATATGATATTCGAGTAATATCAAGTAATATGAAAGTTCGACTGAGAGCGAAAAAGAGCAACAATTTTAGGCAGATTGCAACCAGCTAAAAGTTAATGAAATGTAGAGGTTAGATTGCTGGGTATAATCCTCTAAACCCTTCTTGTGGCTGCACTTGAGAGACGATGCTGCTGAGCGCATTCTTTTCTACTCAACTTAATACAGCGGGTTGAAAACGGGGGAAAAACACACATGTCGTATGTGCATGTGTGAATAAAATATACAGTGCATGAAGAAATAATATTTAATTTACATGGAGTAAAGGGTAAAAGCACTTTTACTGGAATAAATCAGGCGCAGCTGCAGCTGTGTAAGAAAATAGGGAAAAGTGATAAGCTTACTATACATATGTAGCTACTAAGTGTAGCAAAAATACTTTAACTATCGATATAAAAGCGATATGAACCTCTGGAGCACAGTTAGGATAATCAGATGGGGGGGGGGGGGGTGGATGGGTAGCGGAAAAAACTAAAATGTGATATTATTTTCTGTTTATTTGGAAGTTATTTTAAAATTATTTTATATAAAACAAAACCAATTATGGCTTTACAAAACAAAATTCTGATTTTTGTTTTTTTTTTGTGCTCAAGTCAGTGCCTGGACTACATTATAGACAAAAAATCATACTTTTTGTGGAAAAATTTTGTTCGTTTTTTGTTTAGAAAACATTAAAAAATGTGTAATCAAATTTTCTGGGTTTTTTAACTTCGTGAATTTCTCAGTTTTACTTTGTGAATTGTTAGTTGATGTAAAAGAAAACGCTATTTTTGAAAAAATTTTAATCACACATTTTTCATGGTATGAAATTGTATGACTAGAGTTTTTCCATTTAGCTCCGGCAGTGAAATTGTGAGATAATATTTTCCTTGTGTGGAGGTCAACCCCGGTTTTCCAATCATTTTAGGAGAAAAACGCAAAATTAGCACTTACCGTGCGATTTTTTATCAGAACAGTTTTTTGGAGCTTCGATAAACGTAACTGAAACCTATTTTTTATAAAAAGGATTAAAATTGATTTAAATGGGTTATTCTATAAGAAAGAGAAATTGGTTATAAGCCCATCAAAAACGGGTTTAATTTTTAAAAGTAATAATAATCCATTATAATCGGGAAACAAAATCAAATCTTTTAGTTGATAATAATTATCAGGAATTTGAAGAAACAAGAAAAAAGGTGAAATAAAATAGAACTTACGAGACATTTTTATGCTGGACATAATAGACCTAAAACTAATTGGCACACATTACAAAAGATTGTTTCAATCTTATACAAGCTTAACAGGTATCAAGTGCATTTTTGTGGGTCCAGTAGTGCAATAAAAAGTAAGTATCCATAGTTCGGAGCAAACAAAAAAAACAGAAAAAAAAGGATAAAAGTATTAGTTGAACAGCTTTTAACAACTGTGAGCAAAGTAAATGCGTGTTCAGCAATACTTTTCTACTTTGCAAGAGTGTAAAATGTTTTCAGCCGGTGCGGTGACAAAAGTAAAAGTAGCATAAATCTGATCACAGCAGTTGCGGCTGATCTCAATTTTGTGAGTTACAAGAGAGCTGTGGAGGGGAACAGAAGAGAGTAACACGTGCTCAGATTTGTGCAATTTTGATTGCCTGCAGGTTGTTTTCCAACATAACAACACCTGTCTTTAAAAGCCACTGATTTGAACGCAGGTGCTTCCCCACAGCAATCAGCACGCAGACAAGACAGAGAGACGCAATGTGTGCGGTCCTAGCGCTATCCAGCGACAGCCGCTACTGCATACGCAAAAGAATCTCACTCGTTCATTATAAAATGCATTTTCTTCTCAGTTGAGTTCCGTTTCAATTAACCCCTCCCCCGATTATTATGCAATTGAATTCCAGATGCTCCGCTCGCTTTTCTATAGACCAGTAAATCACCCAAAAAATGCGACCCTGTGCTCTCTTCCCTACAGATATTTAGCTTACAGCTTTTTTCATTAGAAAGTATTCAACTAAAGTTTCTGTTGAAAAGTTCAGCGAAAGCAAAGACTTTTTACGATCTTTTTGCAGATGTTCAGGATTTTTGATAGCCGGCTGTTAAAAGTATTACTAGGTCATGACAACACCTAACAGATGGTCACATATTTACACAATAGCTCTCTTAATTGTTTGTTTTTATATTTTTGCCACCAATCGGAATTCGGAAATAATCTAGAAAAGAGATAGATAGTCACATATAGTCTTTTTAAGTTCGAGTGGACAACAAATGAAAGAAAAGAATAGAGGAAATGACAGCGTCCTTGGCGGGGGGAGAGTAGTTTAAGAGATCCGAAAAAAGTATGACCGGTGGTTAACCACCTGTTACACAATTCGGCAGATGTCACATAAAAGAGAAAAGAAAACATCGAGATATGGAACTGGCTATGGCTTAAAAATTCGTCGGTTTCTCTACTTAGCATTGATTTCAACTTAAATGCACAAATTATTTAAATCGATTTAGAAAAATAAAAGCACTATCCAACCTAAAATTTGTAAAACTTTCAAGTATTAAAATCTCATTACTGTATTTTTTCAAGCGTTTATACGTCCTAATGCACGCTCAAAACCAATCAGGCGCTCAGAACAGTCAGAACTCAATTTTATCACGAAACAATTTCTCATGGATCTATTTATTCCATGATTGTTGTCACACTCTTTTTGCAGGTGTGGGAAAGAACTATGATGCAGGATGAAGTTTTCCCTGCGAATCTACCTACATCAATAAAAGCCAATTGGATTTCAAGGGCCAGATGAACTAAAAATGCTTCAGTCGCATTTCTGAGTCTAGAAAATTGTTTCAATGAATTTTGAATGGCTCAGTGAAAAATAGACTGAAATTGATGAGAAACTGTTGAACAGCAACCCACTCTATGTTTTAATTTTTCGATTTTCACAAAATGCGAACGGCTGTTTTATGTTCAAGCTGTTTTATCATACTTCGAGTTTTGATATTTTGTTCCGACTTTCGATACGAAAGTAACGGAATATTTGTGCTCGGGTTGGGTTTTTTTTCTTCAGACAAGTTTCGACTTTTTAACTAGCCTTTTTTGACGAAATTTTTTTATATCAAAGGGTATTCTTGTCCTGAGCTCAATATTGAAAAGATATTTTACCTGTGATCATTTTGGCCATCATCGGGCAATTAACGCGCGATATATTTCGCGCTATTAACGCGTAAGTGGAGAGCTAATCCGTCTTAAAATTGCTCCAAATTGGCTGAAAGAAGCTTATTTGCCATAGTTGATTTGTTACAAGGAGCGAAATCGATCCTTTTGTGCTTTATATGGCGAGTGGGGGATGATTTTCATTCAAAAATTCAAATTCTAGAAAAAAAAATTTCGTTTTGTTTACTACATTTAATTTTTAATGTCATTACTGCTCCATAAAACCATAAAAGGTAGTCGGAACATTCAGGGCTTCGCCCTGATACGAGCAGTCTTGTTTCATACTTTTACTGTCAAAGGAAGTAGGGTTCTTTTGTGTTGTTATCTTATTTGGAATGACTAGCTGCTTTGAGAACAGTATAACTTGAACATCAATCGGAAACTTGTTTCTTACCAGACTTAGCGTTAGTTATACCAGACTCGCGTTAGTTGTTATAGCACCTTGAAATATTGGTCAAGTCAGACTTAATTGCAATCCCCTATAACTTTAAGATAGATAGTCGAAGGTCAAAGCTATTTTTGTTTTGTTGTTCCGAATGTAACGGAATACTTGTGCTTAGGATGTTTTTTTTATGCAGACAAATTTCGACTTTTTAACTAGCCATATCATTCAAAAAATATTGTTGTCTTGAGCTTAATTTTGGAAAGATATTTTACCTGTGATCATTTTTTGTAAAGTTATGGGGGTTTAAAGATTGCCATTTTGGCCAGTTTGGGTCAATTAACGCGCGATATATTTCGCGCTATTAACGCAGAAGCGGAGAGTTAATCCGCCTTAGAAATTGTTGCAAATTGGTTGAAAGAAGCTTATTTGCAATAATTGATTTGTTACTTGGAGCAAAATCTATCATTTTGTAGTTTATATGGCGTGTGGGGGATGATTTTCACAAAAAATCTCAAATTTTTATTTTGTTTTCAGTTTTATTTTAATCATTTTAATTTTTACTTGTTATTACTGCTCCGTAGACCTTAAAAGGCAGTCGAAACAATCAGGACTTTGCTCTAGTACCAGCATTGTTGTTTTTTTGTTTTCAAAATTTTGACTGCAATATCTTTCTGATGTCACAAAACTTTTTCAAAAGCTGCTGGTTGCAATGTCAGAATTTGTCAAGAAATAAACAAACGGAATACAAAAATTTGGTTCACAAAAGTTTGTTCAAAAGCGGCTGGTTACAACGTCAGAATTTTTTAAGAAAAAAAGACCAGCGGAATACAAAAATCGGAAAGAAGCGCTTTGAGGTGGCAATGCTGGTTAAACTCTCTCAGAATAGAATTAAGCTAACTCACAATGCAAAATCAAACAAGAAGAGCGGCTCGCATATGAATGCCCAGGTAAATGGTCAAATGTTTAATGTTAACTTATGATTCAAACGAGCTTGATCAAAGCACTCTCATTGATTCCACTCGGAACGATCATGAGTGCGGGATACTTCGCCACGCATAAATAGTTCGCATAATGAAAATATTAATTCTTAATTGAGCATCTTGCAACCGCATTTAAACTAGTGCAAGCACAATTGCCTAGCAACTCGAATCAATCTTTGAATGTCGGAACAAAAAATTATAAGGGTAATACTTCGAACTAATTGTACGATAGAAAAAAGTGAAGTAACATCCTCAAACTCAGTAGCTCAGAAAAGTTTTTTAAAATGGTGCTAACTTATCTAACACAATGATCATTGTGTGTATCTAGTTAAGACGTCTGCGGGACAGACGCTGACAGATTTTCAAGTCGTTGAAATTAATCAGTCAAAAATCATCAGACAAAACGTTTGACTTCAGCGTCATGGACTGAGAACTAGTTAAATACATCAGTCGCTTTTGCAAGCAATTATTCCCCATAGTATTGGCTCGCCTTTGCTTCCTAGATAATGACTAGGTTTGCTGAGAAGTAGATCAGAAAGATGATTTAATAAAATTTTGTAAGTACAAAAAATTATTTGTAACACGGGCAAATCTTCAATTTTTCTAACTGCACTTTAATTTTAAATTTGATAAATTCTTTTTGAAATTCTATGGTATAAAGCAATCGGTATTTTGACCTTGGCATCATTTAATATTACAAGAAGGGATGTCAGGTAACAAATTTTGTCTGATCTAAAAAACCAACCACATAAAATAATTTAAATTTTTGTCTTTGAATGTGACCCTAATTTTGTCCTTACAAATTGTGTTTTTCAGTATAATTTTGCAAACATTTTGTTAAAATAGCTGACGATATCTTTTTTTGGAATCAACTTGGTTGAAAATCTTTGAAAAAAAAACAAAAAGAAAGCTATACTTGATGTGTGTAATTGATGTTGTACTCGATGTGTGAAAACTGAAGGGCACTGATCAAAAACAATCAACTTCAGACTTAAAAATTGGTCTTTCAAGTTTTTCAATAGGTTTCACTTGAAAAAAAAAGCAACTAGACTTCAACTATTTCATTTACAAGAACTTGAATTTAGGGAAGATGAGTTGTTCTCCGGGTCCATTGATGACCTAATTTTTAAATTGAATGAAATTTTTTTAAAAAGAATTAAATCCTATAAACTTAATTTTTCCCACAAAAAATGAATTGGATTTCAAGGGCCAGATGAACTAAAAATGCTTCAGTCGCATTTCTGAGTCTAGAAAATTGTTTCAATGAATTTTGAATGGCTCAGTGAAAAATAGACTGAAATTGATGAGAAACTGTTGAACAGCAACCCACTCTATGTTTTAATTTTTCGATTTTCACAAAATGCGAACGGCTGTTTTATGTTCAAGCTGTTTTATCATACTTCGAGTTTTGATATTTTTTTCCGACTTTCGATACGAAAGTAACGGAATATTTGTGCTCGGGTTGGGTTTTTTTTCTTCAGACATGTTTCGACTTTTTAACTAGCCTTTTTTGACGAAATTTTTTTATATCAAAGGGTATTCTTGTCCTGAGCTCAATATTGAAAAGATATTTTACCTGTGATCATTTTTTGTAAACTAATGGGGGTTTAAAGATTGCCATTTTGGCCATCATGGGGCAATTAACGCGCGATATATTTCGCGCTATTAACGCGTAAGTGGAGAGTTAATCCGTCTTAAAATTGCTCCAAATTGGCTGAAAGAAGCTTATTTGCCATAGTTGATTTGTTACAAGGAGCGAAATCGATCCTTTTGTGCTTTATATGGCGAGTGGGGGATGATTTTCATTCAAAAATTCAAATTCTAGAAAAAAAAATTTCGTTTTGTTTACTACATTTAATTTTTTAATGTCATTACTGCTCCATAAAACCATAAAAGGTAGTCGGAACATTCAGGGCTTCGCCCTGATACGAGCAGTTTTGTTTCATACTTTTACTGTCAAAGGAAGTAGGGTTCTTTTGTGTTGTTATCTTATTTGGAATGACTAGCTGCTTTGAGAACAGTATAACTTGAACATCAATCGGAAACTTGTTTCTTACCAGACTTAGCGTTAGT